TGTCTCCTCAGTGCAGATGTTTACACACTGCACCAGGTACGCATTTAAGGCTGAGTAGACCTAGGGGAGGATCAGGACCGGTTCAGATAAACGTCACTGGTGGTGGCCATGAGCGGGAATCGAACTACCGTCGCCGGGTTCGTAACGCAGCGTGCTAAGAACTGCGCCACCGCTCCCTATATATACACGCACACACAAGACCAATGGAATATAACAATCTCTTCCAGTTATTGTGCATTTCAGCTCATGATTAATGCATTCAACGGTGAACTTCGTCATCCACACCCATAATTCATTAAATGAGACCACGTCGCCCCGATACACTGATCCCCCACTGGTTCCCAATCCAACCCCCGACCAATTACAAGATCGCCCCGCACCATCTTCAAGGTTCTTCATAGGGTCGTCCACGCCTCCTCCCCCCTCTCATCGCTCTCTGTTCCAGCAAGTGAGGCCTTTTGTCAAACGTGTCAGTAAACCTTTGCCCAGTAAGCGGAGGAGGAGGATGCACATTCTCTGCTACTGCTTCCACTGTCTGAAATACCCTTCCTCTTGGCTATCCCCACATTGGCCATCCTTTCTCCTGTTCAAGGCCAGCCAAAACTTCCCTCCCTCTTACGGCTGTCTCTTGGCACCTCTAACATCAGGTCATCCGAATTCCCTCTTTGGCCTGCAGATTTGTATTCCCACATTCCCTGCTTTACCTTAACCTGCTCAGGAACTCTCTAGGTCGACATGTCTTCCCCTATTTCTTTGGCACTTCGAGGTGTAGTTACACTTAAACGCTGCACACACATTCGCAATTGTATTGCAATAATTGAGTTGCTAAATACCTTTCTCTGTCCTTGAGAGACGAAACACGTAGAGGATAAACTTGTTGTGTTCCGTTTGTTGTCCTTCCCCCCGCACCTCCGATTAGCCTCGGTTGGCTACGTACGGTGCAAAAGAAGTTCAACATACATACACCACGTAATCTTGGAGCACTGCATTTGCCACAAGCCGAATTCCTGCACACTTTTTAGTGCCTTGCGAGCACAACACCAAGCGGCCCTGACGCTAGAATGAATACGTGAATGAGTACGCGAATGAACAAATGAATGAGATGAAACAGTCGCTGCTTAACAGCACTATAATGTGCGGTGGCACTCACTCAACCTGCTTCTCTGTTCACACGAAGAATAGCGGGGGGAGTGGCGGGGGAGGGCTGATAACCTTTTCAAACTTTATTTTTTGTTCCCAACTGTTATTTGATGAAGCCGTTGTGTCCCGGCGATGTAAAGTAAAAGTAAAAAAAATAACTAAACGGGCTTTTAGTGCGTCCGATAAAGAGAATAAACAACACTTTGAGCTTTAAAACGGTGGCGGGGGCACTTTAGTCTCCACGGGTAATGGCCCTCCAATTATCCTAATGGGGGGGGGGGAATCTTTCCAGAAAATCTAACCCGCGATTGTGCGCAACGCAAACCGGAGCACAGGGCCGCCTCTGTTCCGTGGAGAAACAAAACAACCCCCCCCCCTCCCCTCCCCCAGTCTAAAACAAAGGGGGCCAGCGGCGGCTGTGCGCCGATGCGGAGATTCCGGACGGGGTCTAAGCTTTCCTTGCCACTGTTCCTGTGCTCGCCCGAGACTGGGTGGCGTGCGGGATGCCGCTTCCCTTCGAACGGAGACGAATCCCTCCCTCCACCTTGCCGCTGCCGCGCGCGGTGCAACAAACGCACAGACGAAGGAGAGAAGATCAGCCGCGCAGACTCTGCTGCTGCTGCTGCCGCCGTTTTTGTTGCGGCTGCTGTGGCAGGCGACAATTTCTTGAGGCCGGGCGCATGCAACTCCGAGGAGGGAGTGGTGTGGCCGGAAAAAGAAATCGCACCTTGCCAGCGGTCGTCTTAGAGGGTAGTTGCTCTGAAAGCCAGCTATTTGGTGTCCCATGGCTAACACGAGTGGTGAGTGAGATCTAAACTGGTCCCAGCTCTCCCCGAGATCAACACGGCTTTTAAATGAATACCAGGTGCGGTGTGGGGAAACAAGAGCAGCTGGGTGTGGTGCTGAATGGGTGCTCGCTAACAGCACTTGTCCCTACAGTTCAAGTCGGCTATATGGAGAGATCATTGTCATTGTGGGGAACACATGCATGCGTGCAATCAAATATTCAATAATGCGCACGCACACGTGCCCACCATGCGCAGGACGAAGGGTTGAGGGGTGGGTGTGTGATGTCAGTATGGCAGGGAGAAGGATGGTCTCAGACGGAGTGGACCTTGGGCAATGGACACTCGGTATTGGGATGTGGAATGTCACGTCACTGGGGGGGAGGGGAAGGAGCCGGAGCTGGTGGAGGAGGTGGAATGGTATCGACTAGACATAGTTGGCCTCACCTCCACACACAGCACTGGCACTGGAACCAAACTCCTTGGTCGGGAGTGGTCTCCTGTTCCGGAGTAACCCCTGGGCGGGTGTGGGGATGCTCACAAAGCCCCTGGCTGGGAGCTGTTCAGTTGAAGTTTGTCCAAGGGTCGCCTCAATGAGACTTCGGGTCTCAGAAAGGAAAACTCTAACTGTTGTCTATTGCTTATGCACCAAATAGCAGTTCAGAGTATTCGGCCTGTAGTGCTCGACAAAGTGCCGTCCACCGACTCCACAGTCTCACTGGGCGACTTCAATGCTCACGTGGGAAACGATGGAGCTACCTGGAGAGGCGTGATTGGGAGGAGTCTGGGAGAGCCTCAGAGTCGAGCCGCTGCTCCTCCGGATCGAGAGGAGCCAGTTGAGGTGGTGCGGGCACCCGGAAACGATGCCCCCCGATAGACTCCTCCCGGAACTCTACCGGGCAGCAGCAGCAACGTCCCATTGGGCGAAGACCTCGGGGCCGGCCCAGGACACGCTGGTGGGACGATGTAGCTCAGCTGGCCTGGGAATGTCTGGAAATTCTCCAGGAAGAGCTAAAAGTCTGTTGCCAGGGAAAGGGAGGTCTGGACCGCCCTACTCAACACACTGCCACCGCGGCCCTCACCAAGACAAGCGAATTGAGAAACGAACGAATGAACACACGTACAAAGATCCCCCTGTAGCCTTGACAGTCTCTTAGGGTCAAGTCCTGTTAGCGAACACCTATGAAGGCAAACTGAGCACACGATGGAAGTGGGTGGCCAGAACTACACCCGGCCGCCTTGCTTCCCAAGTGCTAATGTTTAAACACTTGCCCTCGTGTTGCTCCCGAGCGGTCATCGAACTCGTTTCACTGGATTTGCAGTGCAGCACGCTAACCACTGCTCCCCACACACAAGCAAATATGCGCATTCACGCACACTTCCTTCTGCCAGGCCTGAGTCATTGGGTGGAAATTCCACATTCCTACAGTGGTCACTAGGTTTTGTTAGCTAAATATTTCTATTTTTAAATTAAACAAGTAAAAAAAAAACAGAACGCGGCCAGCGTTTGTTAATGACGGCAGGGTTTAAATATTTGCAGCCTGAATTATACAGTGCTACCAGTTGCAGCTCGGGACACGTTGAAGACATTGCAGGAGCGTGGATGAAGGGGTTATTTTGCACTCTATATAATCTTGTCATCCCCTCGTACGCGTGGATTCCTCCTGATACTCCCAATTTACTCCCACGCTCTAAAATAAATCGACAACGAATTAGCCAAACAAGTAAAAAAAAAGATTCAACGTTTCCCTTGAACAATACAGTGCTTATAACCTTCAGGTTAACAATGTGTTGGGATTTGGTTTGTATGTGCAGAATGTTTAACTTCTTTCGCACCGTACGCAGCCAACTAAATTGTAGGTGCGGGGGAAGGACAACAAACTAAACACAAAAAGCAGATGTAAAGATTTCGATTTAAAGCTTTCGTGACTGCAGGGATTCATCTTCTTGTTTCTTTCGGTAAAGTCACGTAGAAGGATAATAAAAACAAAACATGATCAAATAAAACGTCGTGAGAATTTTATTATGTTTAATTTTTATTATTTTATTATTTTCCTTCTACGGGATTTTACCGAGAGAACCAAGAAGACAGATGTAAAGAAATTAGTTTTCAATCGAGATTTAAAAGTGCATAGCTCCAGTGGTTTCCTAATATCAGAATGAAGAGCATTCCGGATGGGCGCAGAAGTGCATCTGAAAGCATGAGAGAAGGTGAACGTCTTTGTTCGATGGTTAGCCAAAAGTCGCTTCTGCGAAGATGAGCGGAGTTCGCATGATGGTGTATGCTCCATATTTACTGACTGCGTACGCTGCTGCAAAGCTTCTCAAACGGGGCCCCTGGGAACGCGACCCACTTCATCCGCTCTGGTGTCGTCTGTTAGACTAGCGGCGCACAGCTGATGATGATTGAAGCACTGTTACTGATCGCCATTGATCTTATTAGGCTGGCACGACAGACACTGAAATTAATGAATCAATTAAATTGCGCTACGATGTAAGAATCAATCAACTTTGAATACGATTAACTTGGCTGGGAAGGATTCCAGCTCCGCCACTAGACGCACTGCTACAATCACCACAATATAAAATAACGAATCAATTTTTGGCTCGAACCATCATGCCTCAAAACCAGAACAATTTGTCACTTGCTGTTTGTAAACTAAAAACTAACTTTTTTAATTAAACCAGGTAAGGCCCACTGAGCTAGAGAGGTTTTCTGCAGAAGCGACCTGACCGCAAATGATAGCTCAACGAAGTGGCTTATCAAGTGCAAATTTATAGCAGCCAAATACTCTAAAATAATATTTCTAAATCTGGAGGGAAAGACCAGAGGACCCAGAGAAAAATCAATTTGACCATGGGGAGAACAGGCAAATTCCAAATATACAAATAACACCAGGGTCGGGATCTAACTCACGACCTCTTGTATACCAGACGAGGCAGTTAACATCTCCTAGCCACCGCGGTGATCTCAGCGGATGCCGGCGGCTCGGCGCAGCTCCGACCTCTAACGAGCCAGCCACCAGCCCCCCCCCCCCTTCTCTCGCCTCATCCGCCCGTCTCTTCCGCGGTCAGACAAGTCGCGCTCGTGCGAGGAGGAGCGGCAGTCGGTGCTGGAGGAGGACAGGCAGCACCCGCGTGAGGGTGCGTTCGTGCCTGAGTGCGCCGGTGGTGGGGGGCTCTACCAGCCCGTGCAGTGCTACCAGACGACGGGATACTGTTGGTGCGTGCTCGTCGACACGGGGCGGCCCATCCCGGGATCCTCCACCAGGCACGCCCTCCGCACGCTCCTCACTCACTCACGCCGCCAGCCTGGCCACCTCACGTGTCCACGAGGTCTTGGCCGATATCTGAGCGTGCACACAGGCGCTGCCGTGGCTCCACCCGTGGCTCCACCATGGCTCAACCCGTGGCTCCACCCGTGGCTCCACCGTGGCTCTTGTGATCCTTGAACGCAGGGCCCGTGTGTAGGATTCTAAGGCGAGCGTTCTCTGTCCTCCAGCAGGTATCAAACCCCAAAGTGCGAGCCCAACGCGAGGTCAAGAGGTGCCGTGCAAGAGGATCCTTACGACAAGAGGGACCTCGCAGGTCAGGGGGGTGGGGGGGGGAGTGCATCATCGCCGTCGCACACGTTCAGACAGAGTCAGCGGTACAACCCCAGATGGAGTTAGTCGCACGACACCGGATGGATTCAGTGATGCAACATAGTAATTGAGTCAACAGATGAATTTGGACGACGGATAAATTGTATTCACACAACCGGATAGTTTTGGACGTACGACAATTGGTCGTCCGTCACTTGTTTTAGGCATGACGATGTGACGTGACGACGTGACGTGGCGTCGCGACATCAGAACGTCCGTAGGCGAGAGCACTAATCTTGTGTCTCTTCTTCTTTCGTGTAGCATTTTTGGGGATTGCAACAGATTACAAATGGATGCCGGGATTTTGATATCCATTTGACTGTTTTAGGAGTAGCCGCATGGATTAGTTTCATATCGCCGTTGAATGGTCTGATTGGGCAGTAGTTCACGACATATTGCACGTTCGGAGATGTCGCACCACCACAGTCACAAAATGGACTCTCGTTAATTTTCCATTTTTGGAGAAAGCGTCCCCACATCTTCCATGGAGTGTCCGGATCCGATTCAAGGAGGACCAATCTTCCTCGGTAGGTCAGATCCAGGTTGGAGGATTGTGGGATGGCTGATGATGGATTTCTACAGCGGGTTGGTGTTTGCCCAGGCTTCCCTCCATCGTGCTTCGGTGATCTTGTCATCGTCATGGAGGCTCTTTGCATATTGCCAGAAAGACTTTCTGGATTTGAGACACCTGTGCGGTGGTGGCATGGAGATGTCCTTGTTTGGATTTCTGATGGCCTTGCGGTGCTCCATCATATGCGCGGCATCGCGGCGGAGCTGCTGAGGAGCGATGTTTGTGTGGACCGGAAGCCACAGCAGTGGTGTTGTTTTTTAGCATCCCTGAGATGATCCTCATGGCTGCATTTAGCTGTGTATCCACCAGCTTCTGTGTCTCCTGTCTCCACGCCTCTCATTTTTCTCTCGGTTATCTTTTACTGCACCTCACCAATCTGCATCTCTCCACTCCTGCGAGCCATATCTCTCTGCGGGCCGTATCTCTCTGCGGGCCATATCTCTCTGTGGGCCATATCTCTCTGCGAGCCATATCTCTCTGTGGGCCATATCTCTCTGCGAGCCATAATCTCTCTGCGGGCCATATCTATCTGCGGGCCATGTCTCTCTGCGGGCCATATCTCTCTGCGGGCCATATCTCTCTGTGAGCCATGTCTCTCTGCGGGCCATAGCTCTCTGCGATCCATAGCTCTTCGAGCCATATCTCTCTGCGAGCCATAGTTCTGCGAGCCATGTCTCTCTGCGAGCCATAGCTCTGCGAGCCATATCTCTCTGTGAGCCATAGTTCTGCGAGCCATATCTCTCTGCGAGCCACAGCTCTCTGCGGGCCATATCTCTCTGCGAGCCATATCTCTCTGTGGCCATATCTCTCTGCGAGCCATATCTCTCTGTGGCCATATCTCTCTGCGGACCATAGCTCTCTGCGAGCCAAAGCTCTGTGAGCCATATCTCTCTGCGAGCCATAGTTCTGCGAGCCATATCTCTCTGCGAGCCATGTCTCTCTGCGGGCCATATCTCTCTGCGGGCCATAGCTCTCTGCGGGCCATATCTCTCTGCGGGCCATATCTCTCTGCGGGCCATATCTCTCTGCGGGCCATATCTCTCTGCGGGCCATATCTCTCTGCGAGCCATATCTCTCTGCGGGCCATATCTCTCTGCGGGCCATATCTCTCTGCGGGCCATATCTCTCTGCGGGCCATATCTCTCTGCGGGCCATATCTCTCTGCGAGCCATATCTCTCTGCGGGCCATATCTCTCTGCGGGCCATATCTCTCTGCGGGCCATATCTCTCTGCGGGCCATGTCTCTCTGCGGGCCATATCTCTCTGCGAGCCATATCTCTCTGCGAGCCATATCTCTCTGTGGGCCATAGCTCTCTGCGGGCCATAGCTCTCTGCGGGCTATATCTCTCTGCGAGCCATATCTCTCTGCGAGCCATGCCTCTCTGCGAGCCATATCTCTCTGTGGGCCATATCTCTCTGTGGGCCATATCTCTCTGTGGGCCATATCTCTCTGCGGACCATATCTCTCTGCGAGCCATATCTCTCTGCGAGCCATGCCTCTCTGCGAGCCATATCTCTCTGTGGGCCATATCTCTCTGTGGGCCATATCTCTCTGTGGGCCATATCTCTCTGCGGACCATATCTCTCTGCGAGCCATATCTCTCTGCGAGCCATGCCTCTCTGCGAGCCATATCTCTCTGTGGGCCATATCTCTCTGTGGCCATATCTCTCTGCGGACCATATCTCTCTGTGGGCCATATCTCTCTGTGGGCCATATCTCTCTGTGGCCATATCTCTCTGTGGGCCATATCTCTCTGTGGGCCATATCTCTCTGCGAGCCATATCTCTCTGTGGCCATATCTCTCTGCGAGCCATGTCTCTCTGTGGGCCATATCTCTCTGCGAGCCATGTCTCTCTGTGGGCCATATCTAGACGGGCCACGCCGAGAGCCTCCACAGGCCACAATCAGGCCCTCGATCCACCAGTTGATGAACCCAGCTGTGTGGCAATGCCTGATGGTGACGACTATGATGATGATGGTGGTGGTGAAATGAGACTATCCAGGACTCTGGAGTTCTCAACTGGTTAAATAAAATAAGATAACTATGTTTTTTGTTATTTTATTTTACCAGGGAAGGCCTACTGAGCTAATGTCGCTTTTTTTCAGAAGCGAACTTGGCCGCAAACTAATGGCGGCACTGTGATGCACATAGCCCGGTATAGCAGATGAACAGACAAGGGAAAAAAGAGACACGTTTCGCTGGGCTTTGGTAACACGGAGGGGGCTTTCTCACCGGCGGCAATCACAGTGCAGCATTTCGGCATTGCACACCCTGGCGCCAAAAAGTCGGGGTGTAACGACGCTTCGCTTTGGCAATTAAAATGTATTTGTCATTTCGCCACACATGCATTGTTATATGCGTGTTATATATATATTTATTGTATATAATTTAGCTCACGCCATTCATTTTGCCACTAGAGGCCGCTACATTCACCGCAACAGAAACAAAAAATACTCCTTGAATGGGGCTGCCACACCGAATGGTGACAGTTAACGGAATCGCGACGGAGGGCAATTGTTAAAAACTTCCGAAAATAAAATCCTTCAACTTCCATCTCTTTTCACACAGTAGCCGTACAGATTTTTCCTTGGTTCTGTCGATAAAGTCACGTAGATAGAAAAATTATAAAGTGAATAAAAATAATAAAAATAATAAAAACAAAAACCCACTAATGTAGACTGTAGCCTAGTTCTTAATCGGAGTGAGTGTACTGGCAGTCTCTCACGTGGACTGTAGCCTGGTTACAGTCTACATTATACACTGCCAGTACACTCACCAAGGTTAAGAACCAGGCTACAGTCTACATTATAGACTGCCAGTACACTCACCCAGCTTAATAACCATTGCTACAGTCTACATTATAGACTGCCAGTACACTCACCCAGCTTAATAACCATTGCTACAGTCTACATTATACACTGCCAGTACACTCACCAAACTTAAGAACCAGGCTATAGTCTACATTATAGACTGCCAGTACACTCACCAAACGTAATAACCAGCCTACAGTCTACATTATAGACTGCCAGTACACTCACCAAACTTAATAACCAGGCTCCAGTCCACATTAGAGATTGCCAGTACACTCACTCCGATTAAGAACCAGGCTACAGTCTACATTAGTGTTTTATTACTATTTTATTTGTATTGTACTTTTTATTTATTTATTTTCTATCTACGTGACTTCACCGAAAGAACCAAAGAATATGAATTCCTGCAGTCACGAAAGTTAAGTCAAAATGTAGCCACACACATTGCTGAGACATAACCCTGAGCCTGTGGCAGAAATGCCAGATACCTATGGCAGGGGCAAGTCTCCCCCATCAGACAACCACTCTTGATTCGGCCAGGGAGCTCAGCGGTAAAGGGAGCGGCTCACGATCCAGAGGTAGCAAGTTCAACTTCTGGTTGGTGGTTGGACTCGGCCCATTATCTCTTCCGATAAAATGAGTGCCACGGTGAGTATGCAGGCATGTTGAACTTCTTTCGTGCCGTACGTAGCTAACCGTGCGAATCGGAGGTGCGAAAATACTGGCTGCCTACCTGCCATGCACTTATATAGGGGAGCCAGCTGAGACGCCACCAGCCTTGTTTACTGGAAGCCGCATTCCAAGGTGTGTCGCGTCGACTCGTACGTCGACTTATTATAGCCGCTGTGAAATTCCAACGGAGGGGAGTTGAAGGCGTTTCCACCCTAAATCATTATTTATCGCAAGAAAAGAAGCCCGGTTTGTGTTAAGGAGGGGCACTGTTGATCCACGGGGAGCTTTGAAGCATCTCTGAGCTTTTGCCGCGTGAGAGGGGAGCGCGCCTTCATCGAGCAACAAGAACGGCAGTATTGTTGTTTCGTTTCTTCTCTCCCTAAATACTTCTGCTCCAAAAAACACAAGAGTTCCATTTTAAAATGAATCGGTGCACGTTTGTATGTTTTGGGTGCCGCGGTGGCGAGATGTTAACTCCCTTGTCTGGTATGCAGGAGGTCGTGGGTTCGATCCCAACCCTGACGCCTGCTGTATATTTAGAGTTTTTTTCTCTCTCCCCGTGGTGGCATGGATTTTTCTCAAGGTCCTTTGGTTTTCCCTCCACATTTAGAAACATGCGTTTTAAGTATTTGGCTGCAAAAAATGTCCACATAAGCCACTTCATTGAGCTATCATTTGTGGCCAGGTCGCTTCTGAAAAAGAGATATATAGCCACAGAGGTGCGGCGGAAGGACAACAAACTAAACACCAAAAGCATTTATAAATAAATGAGTTTTCAATCTAGATTTAAAAGTGCATAGCTGTAGTGGCTTCCTAATATGCTCAGAAGCGCATCTGAAAGCGCGCCATGTAGTGACTGTCTTTGCTCGATGGTTACCCAAAAGCTGCTGCGAGGATGACCGGAGTTCGCGCGATGGTTTATGCTCCTTGTTGTAGAGGATGAAAGAAAACCACGTGCACCTGGTTCACCTAACAATTATAATTATTGTTATGATTTGGTTATGCTGCTGCTGCTGCATGGGCAGTGGTCCACGAGCACAATTAACACAATGTGTTGAGATTTTTGTTAAGAATAATAATGATAATTTAGAACCTTTTGTTAATCAACTGCTGGATAGACTTCTCCCCCCCCCCCCCCCCAACTCCCATGCTGCATCGGACGTACGGGTTGTTTGAACACAGCGTAGAAGTACAGCACAACAATGGATTTCACCGCGCTGCCCTCTACTGCCCACAACGCAGCCCAGCAGAGGCTTGCCGCGCCTGCTGCGAGTCGTGGTTGCCTACCGCAGCCAGTAAAAGTTAACTGAGATGAACGGTTCAGCCGAGGCGGATCACGTGAGAGGACTTCCACGGTCAAAACGCAATCGTCAAAGCACGCAACATGGTGCCGACTAGCCATCGGTCTCGTGCAGAACCCCCCCCCCCCCCCCCCCCCCCCCCCCGCTAAATTTCATCATCGGACAATTGCAGAGTAAACAGGAGATAAAATATAGACACGCGATGAATCAAGGGTATTTTACTGACACTGGTGGGATTTGTTGTGCATGTTGCCTTTTTTAAAAACTGATCTCTGCTTCATGCCAGGGTGTCCCGGTGGGAAGAAAGCGCAGTTCATCACGTCCTTGCTGGACGCGCTCATCACCGACATGGTCAAAGCCGTCAAGACGGCGGAATCCTCCCCGGGGATGAAGTGAGGGCCCTCCCAAACTCACCGCCGTGGGGCCAAACCAATGCACGCGCGGGGACTTTCAGCGATCGTTAATCACCCGGGGGGCAAAGTTTAAGCCGAGCAACGGTTTCGAGTGAACCAAAACCAAACGCCCCCCCCCCCACCCAGCCCAGCTTTGCCACAGGGGATCCCCCCCGCCACCCACCCCGTCACCACCCCCGCTAACTCAGTAGACATTCGGGGGTCCTTTGTACCGATGTGATTTATTGTCAGGGAATTCAGATGTGTGGGGGGTGATTTTCAAACTTGGCAAATCATGCCGACTCGCAGTGGCCGTTTGCCTGTGAACGTTGCTTGTGACTCATAGACTCGTGTGCACACGCACCGCTGCTAGCTCACGCCACTGCTGGCGGAGGGGGGCCTCGCGCTAGCGGCAGCTCGAGAGTAGCACTCAAAGAGGGTAGTTTGACCGATTCTTACATGCTGGCCAGGTGTCTTGATAGAGGTGGAGAGACACCTAACACTTTACCACACTACACGTGACCCGCCGACTGACTAACTCTGGCGTAACGATTTATAACTGCTGAGTGGACCGAGGCAGTGGGGTGGGTGAGGATTCCCACCAATTATACATGGCCGTTTCAGCTCCCTGGTAAGTTGAAGAACAATCCTCACAACCGCATCTCGCAGCCAGATACGACGCAAGCATCTGCAGGAAGACGCTTGGCACGGCATACATTTGGCCCGATCGCTACGTGACCTGACCTGAAACATGAACAAAGAATGGTTTGTTATTATTACGACGATCAACTATTGGAGGCTTCATTGGCCCGACATGGTGCCGTACCCGCATTACGAGTGGGGGCCCCCGCTCGCCCGCCGTGTCTCTGCGGACGCGCAGGATGGAGGAGCCCGACCCGAGCCAGACGCTGGAGGAGCGCGCGGTCCGCTGGTTCTTCACGCAGCTCGATCGCAGCGGGCGCGGCGCCGTGGGCCGCAAGGAGATGAGGCCCCTACGCCGCTTCCTCAAGAGAAGGCCCAAGCCGCAGCGGTGCGGCCGCAAGTTCATGGAGTATTGCGACCTCAACGGCAACAAGGCGCTGTCGCTGCCCGAGCTCAAGGGATGCCTGGGGGTCGGCCGAGAGCAGAGTGAGCGTGGGGACGCACAGCGGGGAGTGGGGGGGGGGGAGGAGCTATGGGGGTGACTCTCATTCAAAGCCAAAGCACACAGCGCTCGAAATACCAAGGACTCGATTGGCATTTCAAACGTTTCCCAACTAAGATTGAAAGCCTTTGCGCGTATTAGCTCTGTCCGTCTGTTCGTAACGGGGTTGGGGGTTGGGAGGACACAATAATAACCCACGGAAAGATGAGTCCAATATGAACGAAGCTATTCGGGAATTCCTCTGTTGAAAACCAGAACCAGCCGTACGGATACAACAACAAAAAACAGTAGCCCAAAAGTGGAGACACAAACAGCTGCCTGTCGGTTTTTGCAGTACTCATGGAATCATTCCGAGGGCGAATCGAGGTGACGGAGGTGTTTGTCTGATGATAATCTAATTGCCCACCAATGACGTCTGTAATTGTGCAGTGGTTCGTGTACTGCACAACGAACCCAGCGGCCCGAGTTCAATTCCCGCTCACGACCAATGTCAGTGATTAATATCGGAACCGGCCCTGGGCCTCCCCTTAGTCGACTCAGCCTTAAACGAGCGCCTGGTGCAGTGTGTCAACATCGGTACTAGGGAGACAAAGGCGGCCGGGCGTGTTGCTGGCCACCCACCCCCTCGTGTGCCGTGCTTGCCTTCATAGGTGCTACTCGCGAACAGCACTTGCCCCAACAGTCTGTTCAAGGCAATATGGGGGATCGTTGTCTTCATTACCCGCTATAGATAGGTATTTAAAAGTCCTATTCGACCCTCGTTAAGGAAAGACGTCATTAGAGATTACCGCACTAACCTGTTAGTCGGTTATTTTAAATCAGAATCAGAATATGTATTTAGACTGGAGGAATCCGATGAGCTATAAAGCTATTTTTTCACAGATGTCCAGTAGGGGCGGGTAACGTTACAACAACAACACGATAGTAGTGCAAAGTACAAGAAAGATAAACAAATCACCCAAACACAAACAAATACAAAACACTAAACCATCGCCATCCTACCAGGCAAAGCCCACTGAGGTATCAACTTGTTTTTCAGATGCGACCTGGCCACAAATGATAGCTCAACAAAGTGGCTTATCATTTGGACATTTATAGCAGCAAAACAATCTAAGTAGTCTCAATCTAGACACGAGTAAGCTTGATTTTGAACAGCATCCAGGCTCGCTATTGAGCCTATCAAATATAAAAGCGGCTCTGGTGATATTTACGCGATCTAACCCAAAACACCTGAACTATGGATATTGGTCACGACACAGCCTACGTGTTAAACTAACAAACAAAAAACGTGCCGCTCGTTTGTTTCCAAAGTCCGGATGTTTATAATCTGACTTTGTGTTTACTTCACGGGGCAACAACTGGATTCGTCTTTGTGCTCACACGCAGGCCAGACCTTGGCATGTGTAGAACGGAGATTGTGCTTGCGACTGTTCAAAACGACAGAAAAAGTAAAATCCCGATACGCTTTTCCACCAAAACGGTTTCTTCGCTGAACAATCTTTCCCACGAAATCTTCCCGAACAAAACGATACGTTTTACGTTTATTTCATGCAGCATTGGCAATCTGACACTGACACGTGAGCCACGCGGGTACAACACGCGTGGGGATGGTGTGGGCAGCACCACATCTTCCTGAATACAAAGACAAATATCCCCCGTATAGCCTTACCAGACTGTTGGAGCAAGTGCTTTTAACGAGCACCTATGAAAGCCGGAACGGTACAGAAGGGGGTGGGTGGCCAGCACCACGCCCGACCGCCTTTGTCTTCCCAGTGGCGATGTTGACACGCTGCAAAAGGCACTCATTTGAGGCTGAGTCCAACGAGGGGATGCCCAAGACCGATTCAGATAATACTGTGACTGGTGATGGCTGTGAGCGGGAATCGAACTCGGGTCGCCGGGATCGTAGCGCAGCGTAGTGCTAACCCCTGCACGCCCGCTCCCCTGACTGAATACAAAGACACAGATTCACATAGTAATTAGACACGCAGAGACACAGACACAAATTCACACACACACAGTCTGGCTCGCCTACACGAGCTGGCATTCAATAAGATGTCCCGAAGCATCAGCAACAACAAAAATATAAAAAATTATAACTTTTTTTTACGGGTAATAAATAGCCAGCGTTTTATTATTTCTGGCAGGGACGGGGGCTTTAAATTCAGGGCAGCGCATAATAAACTCGAGTCTTAAAAAAAAAATCTAACGTCAACAGCCGACTGGAACGTAACCTTTCAGAATGTGTCATTTGAAGTTGAGCGACTGCACTGGGGCTTTTTAGCTCAGGGTGGCAGTTATTTATGTACTTTGAGAGCTGTACTTGGCAATGCCAGCAGTAGGCTTAGCAATGGGGCTCTGAACAGCACTGGAATAGAACACAGTTTCTCAACGCAGCGTCAATAAGCTTGCTTTTGGTAACTCAATCCAACGGGAGCCTCTCAAAGCTTCGTGTCTTGATTGACAGCAGATTAAAAAAAAATCCATTTACTCCGGAGAGGTTAAATATATCTAGATTTTTTAGACGCGTAAACAAAATAATTAATGAATATCATCACTAGACCTCCTTTGCCAGTACCAAAGTATAATAATTGGGTTTTTCCCCTTTTTTCTGGCAACAAAACTGAAACCTTTTTACGAGGATTCTTGTCAGCATTAACCACAATACCTGCAGTCAAAATGCAAACAAAAAACATACTATGATAATATATGCATTGTCCTTGAAACTGATTGATCCACACCAAGGGACAGCTTTCTTTTGAGTCTCGACCCAATTGGTGCTCGACCAGATGACGCCAAAAGGCATACAGCTCAAAGACAATGCACTATCAAAGTAATGAGGGCTCGGGGTGAGCATCTACATCATTAGACCTCCTTTGCCAGTACCAAAATATAAGAATAGGGTTTTTCCCCTTTTTTCTGGCAACAAAACTGAAACCTTTTTACGAGGATTCATGTCTGCATTAACCACAATACCTGCAGTCAAAATGCAAACAAAAAAAACATACTATGATAATATATGCATTGTCCTTGAAACTGATTGGTCCACACCAAGGGACAGCTTTCTTTTGAGCCTCGACCCAAAAGGCGTCATCTAGTCGAGCACCAATTGGGTCGAGGCTCAAAAGAAAGCCGTCCCTTGGTGTGGACCAATCAGTTTCAAGGACAATGCATATATTATCATAGTATGTTTTTTGCTTGCATTTTGGCTGCAGGTATTGTGGTTAATGCAGACATGAATCCTTGCAAAAAGGTTTCAGTTTTGTTGGCAGAAAAAAGGTGAAAACCCCTATTATTATAATGAATGAATAGTTACGGTGATTTTGTATATTTTTTTAATTTTTCTCTAACCTCATCTTCCCAATCCTGTATTATTGTTTTTAGTTGAGAGAGGAGAGAATAGTTTAAAAAAAATGAGGAAAAATACAGCCACATGGGGAAGACATATTAGGTATTTTTAGCAGAACTTCACGTGTGAAAATTCACAGGCATTTCACGGTATTTATATGCAAAAGTCACTCGTGTGCGTGCCTTTTATTTTGCTCTACCCACAGAAGGTGCTGGCGGCAATCAAGCGCAGCGTAAAAGGCAAGAGACAAACCACATGCACAATAAACGTCCAGAGCAGCGAACGCTTTGGAGAAATTCAACTGTCGAGGTGTTCCAGGTGACTCTAGGGCAAGGGGGTCGGCAACCAGCGGCTCTCCGGAGCCGCATGTGGCTCTAATGACTTCGTCGTGACGTCATTCACCACGTGCGTGCATTGCTGGTCTTTAAATAGGGGGGTGGGGTTTGTGTAGAATTCGAAAAAAATTATCTTTGTTTTGATTACGATTGTCAACCCCTGCTCCAGGGTGATAACTTTGAGCTGCCAATGCTGAGAATCTGCATTCAAGTCAAAGTTGTAGCCACAACCCGGGATGAAACCTTGTTTCTGAAACGTAGCGTGTCCATGATCTCAGCCCTGTCACCAATGCCTGGAGAAAAAAAGCCGTTGTGTTAAGCTTGATTTTTCACTTCGTTTGGCTAAATTCCATCAGGTTCACTGCCGTGCAATGGACATTCCTCTGTGGTAGGGGGCAAGTGCTGGACATCTGTGAAAAAGAGCTTTACAGCTCATCGGATTCCTCCAGCATAAATAAAGATTCTGACGTGGAAAGGACAGCCCCCCCCCCCCCACTTAGAGTGTGGATTGAAGAGGTCACTCAAGATTTAAGAAGAAGTTCTACATCTCATCCCGCAGGCCATTCTCTAACACATGGGGTTGTCTTGCTCTTGCAATAACTTAAAAGACACGTGCATCTCTGGAATACGTTTTTATTTTCTTTACTTTTTTTTAATAAACACTAGTAATTATAATATAGGTACTTGGGTTAGAACACGTAATCTAACCTAAAAAAATCTTAATTATGAATAATATTTGTAGCGAAAGCCTATTTGTTCTATACTATTCAAGTGAACATTTTCACGCATGACTCGTACCGAGCCCTGGTTGACAGGCCAGTGCCCACCGCACTCACCTGCAGCTCGCTCATCACAGCCAGTGCGGTGGTATTTTTTAAATTTCCTCCAGGGCAAGAGATGCGATCACATAAACCATGCAGGCGTGATGGGGAACAGTGCCACAGTCACGGCTGGTGCGCGCGCCGCTCTCATCTCAACAATTTGGGGTTCTCAATGCCAGCCACGGTGTGCCCCTGTTGCGGGTCTCCCCCTAGGTCCACTCGGTGGGGAAAAAATGAGTTGCTTAGCTCGAGTCACTTTCCCACGCCCACTATTGTGTCTTTGTTGGCACAATCAACTGCGGGGTTTAAATCGGCGGCTCTGTAGCGGACGTTGGCATGGGCAGCAGCAAGCTGAGATTGTCATTTTGAAAATTCCCGAGTTAAATTACGCGAATGCGTGTCAGCCCCCCACAAGTAGGGGCACGGTGGGGGGGGGGGGGGTGTAATTGCCGCCAGTACGATGTCTTATCTGAATGCTGTCGCCGGGCTGACGAACTTCGGCTGACTGTGATTTTCTCTGTCCGTCCAGCAGGCCATCAGGAGTGAGGCAAAATCAGAGGAAGAGAGATTAGCCGGGTCGACTACCATGCAGGCCGAGGGCTGACGTCGCGGGAGGCTGTGAAAAAACAAGAAAAGGGAGGAAAAAAAGTCGGAAGGATTTTTTTTTTGACATTCGGAGCGTTGTAAGTGCACTTTCGAGCAAGCGAGAGCGGTGATTATTAACACGCATTAACCACCAGCGCCTAGAGACCACCATTGTCCAGCTTCCTAACAACAGACGATAAGTAAATTATATTTTATTAATCCGCATAAACGAGCGTCGGTAATTTGTAACTCAGCGTGGCAGTGGTGGTCCTCGAGGGCTGAGGGTTTGTCGACTGAACGGAGGAAGGGGGAGCGTGAACGTCGCTCCCCCGGTACGACGAGCTGCCGTTTTGTTGTTGTTGTCGTTCCTTAAAAAAAAAAACAGGGTCTCAACATCGATCCGTAAAACTGACGAAAAGCGTCTCGGTTTTGTTTACGCGACGTTTTCCCGCCCGCGACGCGCGCGTCGAGAATGGGCGACGCAGAGCGGGACACGAAGCCCGGGACCGCCACGTGGCCACGTGGCCACGCGACAATCTTGTGCCGCCCGTGTGACTCGCGTTGTCGCCAACGGGTTCCCCGGCGTGCTTCGCTCTGCCGCCTCTTGGGACGGTCACTTTTTCGACGGCCACGTGTTCAAGCTCTTTGGAGCTGGTGGTTTGGGCAAGGTTGGGGGCACTGGGGTGGTCGCGTGACGTGCACGCACGACATGATGGGCGTCCGTGCCTTCATGCCGTTCGTGAGCAGCATACCTTTGTGCAAGAGTTTTCTTATTGTGGATTAAAAAAAAAATATTTTGCGGAAAGTGTTGGATACAATTGCCGTCTCTCTCTCTCTCTCCCTCCCTTTCACTCTTGATCTTGCGGTTTCAAAACCGTAATCACCAAGTGTTTTTTTTCTGCACCTGGCTGCAGGATTGCATTTCTATGGAACGCATCTGGTGGTTGTGTTACCCCGTGTGCGCATACGGTTCTGCGTACGAGAATTAAATGTTGTCAGCGGGGCAGTGGCAGCGTCACAGTTAGCGAGACGCGCCACGAATCCTGGCGACTCTGGCCACGGTTCACATGTTCGGCGATTCTATGAACCAGTCCCTCTGCTCAAATCGGCTTCAAATGCATACCGATCGCGGTCTGTAAACACTTGGGGATCAATATGCGTGGTGCTGGCCACACCACCACCACCACCCGCTGGGGTGTGCCGTCCCGGCCTTCGTAAGCGCTCGCTCACAGGGCATGCTCCCAACAGCCTGTTAAAGATTATCGGTGGACATTTGTCTTCTTTGTGTGCAAACAAGAGAAATTTCAGTTGGGTTAAGAGAGAGAGAGACGGATAATTTTGAAACTCCCAAGTGGCAACCCCAATCACCGCTGTTGTATCCCCTGTGCCAAGTTCTGCCGATGACGATGCTTTGTGCGCGGAATGCGTCCACGAGTGGAAGATTGGCCTCTGCGTTCCACACACAGAGTGTATTTGCGACTCCAGTTACAGAAGAGACTGGAAAAAAGACAAAAAAGAAGAGAATAGCTTGTCGTTAAACTGCTAAATAATTAGATTTGTTTGCAGTTATTTGTTTATATTGCCGTGATCTAGAAACTAGATTAGTTTTTTTTATTAGCCAGGGACTTGCTACAGGTTCTAGATGACCGTAGGGAACAGGACAAGTATTTGTACATTCTGCAGTGTTTCGCTAACTTAATTCCTCCGCGGAGCACGGCACTTTGGGGGGAGTACAAGCCCCATCTAAAAAGAAACCCAACAGGAACTCGTACACACTCCGCATAAGAAGCAACGTCAGGACTCGTGAACAAGATACCGATAGCATTCACGTCAAAAGTAAGCGTTGCCTGTAGGGATTTTTCTTTCGTTGTATGTTTTCATTCGTTTTTGTCACGCAAATTTCAGTGGTGGATCCCGACGGCTTGGGGGAAGGAGGCGTCCAGGGGGTTATTAACCCTTTCCCATTCCGTCATCGGAACGGAGTGGGAAGAAAAAAAAAGCTCTAATTAAATAACTTTATTGGTGCCGAGGCTCCCACAAGGCCGTGTGCGGGAGGGCGTGTGGCACACTTTGGCGCCGGCTATCAAAGTGTATGGTCGTGTCCGCTCCGGTTCTCTGCGGCGAGGACGTCGTCTTTAAAAACAACGGCGCGATGCTTCTCTAAATAAAATTATCGCCGAGCCACTCACGCGTTCCGAGATTGGGCGGCGAACGGGACACCCGCATCCTGCAACATTCAGCCGTCTCCGTACGGGAGAGGGATACACCAGGCTAGGGACCCACTTTTGAACCCTGTAAAAAAAGGTGGCTGTGAAATTGGCCAGCGAAGCCATCGCCAACAGAAGGGCTATTTTCTGACCCGTCTCTCCCTGCCCACAAACTTGCTTTTACCCCGCACCTGAGACTCGTGAAGGCGTGAAAAATTATCACCAAAAATAAAAAAGGGGCTTGGAAGTTTACTCGAATAGTTGAATATCCTCGCGTTGGTCTATTGCAATTCTGCACGTCCCCTGTGAGACGTAGATCTGTGTAGCAGCATTACAAACAATTATCTCGGCACTTAAAAACAAATCATGCAGCTGGCAGAGGTTTCTTTATAAATCAAAACGTGGAACGCACCAGACTTCACTTTGTTTTCAACGTTAGCTACCGCAACCCACGATCGTGCATCGGTGTTGAGCTTACGTGCACATGAAAAACGTGGACGACGACACGATCCCAATTCAACATTGCAGCGCATCATGGCCACGGATATGGCTCCATCCGGAGGGAGCTACCAACCCCGTTCTGGGGCTTGGAGGTTTTGCTTTCTGCTTTGCACGGTTGTTGGCAGCTGCCGAGCATCGATTCATTCAATCAAACAACCGGTGGTGTAATTCTTCAGTCTGGTCGATTAACACACTTGCCCTCTCGGAAATAAACACAATCAACCCTGTCCCCGTTGGTGCATGCTCGGTGGGAACTGCTTTTTTCTATTTATCTAAAGCGCAGATGGAAACTTTTGACGATTGTATTGCCCCTCAGCGTCCGAGTAGCCTCACAAGCGCTTGGACAAAAGTTACGCCGATATACAGCCCCCTTGTGGTTCTCCTGAATGTGAATACTTACTCGGACAGTGGGCATGTGCACACTGAAATCCTTTGTCGATCCACTGCTGGATACCTGGCCTCCCCACACCGTGCAGTTTTGTGGGGTATTTTTTTTTAACCATACTTCACCCCGCTGGTCAATGTTAGTTGGCGAGGGCGAGGAGCATAGATTTCAGACAATAAGTACAGTACAACAATGGATTTTGTTGAACATCATTCAGCTGCCGAGCACCACATCCTCCGATTCGCACGGTTGGCTACGTACGATGCAAAAGAAGTTCAACACTGTTCATACAGCCAAAAATAACTCATAACGCAAAGTGTTTGCTCCCTCCAAGCACAATCACAGCTCAACTCCCAGCTTAGTTTGAGATGCCATGAGCTCGGATGCGTTCCGAGCGATTTGGTCACAAGCAGATAGTATGGTGGAAATTGTGCAACTTGGTTGGATTGCAGGTGACGGGGCACATCAGCTGTGACTGGAGAACGTTGGTTAAATATGGGTTTAGTTTGACAATCGATTGACCCATGAAGCAGCGAGTCGCATGCAAGGGTGTTGATGGTTTCCAGTTTTTGAAAGCGAAGGACACCATGACACCACTCGAGCCCCAGTTTGGAATCGAAAAAAATATATTTTTTAAACGAAATGCAAAAAACTAAAAAAATGTAATAAAGGCAAGTAAAAGATTAATGTGTGCAAAGGGGGGCGTTATTCTTCAGTGGTATCTTTAACCTCTGTCCACTCCCAGTGGTGACCCTTCGAATGATCTGCTTCCATCTTTCATGCTGCAGTGGAAATGAGTCCAAGGCCGACATTCCAAGAACACCAGAACATCAGCACAAAACCTCTCCCTCATATACAACTTGATGACGATAAATGCTATTTATAACGCGCACATATTTCTCGAATCGAACCCAATATTCTATCGAGAACTCGGCGCGCGGAGCCAGATCTCAAAGTCCCTCGTACATTAGCTTGAACATGCAAACTCCAAATATACAGCAGGCGTCAGGGTTAGGATTGAACCCACGACCCCTTGTATACCAGGCAAGGCAGTTAACATCTAGTTACCATATATACGTTGAGGAGACAACTGCGTTATACAAATACACATTTAACCTAAATGATAATTTCCTTCAGTTACCCATAAAAAGCTTCACGGGAATCCCAAGACTTTTTCAAGAGGGTCCTACATTAGGATGCTTTTGATCACCTCAAATAATGAGTCCTTGCCATGTGGGGCGGAACCAGAATGCTGCTGCTGCTTGAAGGTGGATGACGGGGCAGCGATTCTGCATGTGCAGTGGGATGGTTCCAGATGCCGGTGCAATTAAAAATGCCACTGAAGAGTCCTGGTTCTGGGTAGGATGAGTAACTTGATAACCCTATTATTGCCACACACGACTAAAAAAAAACATTGTGGGCATGCTTATCATCGGAGACTTCACCCAAAGTTAAACTACAAAATTAACCCACCCTCCATCACCAGGAAATTTTATCGATCAAAGCCACCCCCATTCTGAAATTACACGAGCACCAGACGCCAATGGGAGCACCAGACGCCAACGGTATTGTATTGGATTTAAAATGTGCGAAATCGGTGCCAGGGCACTCGTAATGTCCCCACGTATTACCTAAATATCAACTGCCGCTACCCACAGAAAACACATTTAAGCTCTCTAACGCCTGAACAAAAAGAAACAACAAAAGTTATGAGATCATTTGCACTATCAGTTTCAAGTTGGTGGCCAAATTGGTGGCCAGGTTGCCCAAAACCAAATCCCAGAAAGTGACACTGTAAATGAAATGGCTTCCAGTGACGGGGCACTGACAAAGTGGAACTTCCAAGCAGGGACAGCATAAATTGCCACTTGCTAAACGCGCTCCAGTCCGTCCTGCAGCTATAATCTCCTGCGATGTATCACTGAATGGCAATTGTGTTGCCGAAATAAAACACCCTCATATTGCTGCACGTGTTTTCGCCACGCTTTGGAAAACCTTCGTCACAGATTGAACATTGCAGAAATTGTACGAACCGCATGGAAAAAATTGAACGTTTGCCAAATTTCGGGGTTCTGGCACAGCCAAACATCACGGTCTAAAAGACGTGGGCTGTACATCTCTTCGTCCCACCATTGGACGCTCTTGTGAAACACTGGATTTATTTATACGTCGGCGTGGCCTCAAAAAAGATCTTTCACAAAAACGCGCACAGACACTTCACAGTTTTTTTTACACCCTTTCCAAAAAACCACGCACTCCCAGGGACAACATTCTCAACTGCTAATTGGAAGTTTGAGCCATCGGGGCACCAGACGTGGAGCCAGGGCAGCAGATAAACAGGCAAACGGCGCACGGCTGCTGCCAAATTCGCTTCTGCTGGCAGTCGCCTTGGTCTGTCGGGCGTCAGCGGACCACCAATGGCACACGCACGGGCTGTATTTAAACTATGAACATTTTTTTTTGTTTTACCAGGTAAGGCCCACTGAGCTGTAGAGCTCGTTTCAGAAGCGACCTAGCCATCACAAATGATCGCTCAACGAAGTGGCTTCTCATGTGGTCCTTTCGGTGAAGTCACGTAAATAGAAAAATAATAAAAACATTTGAATACAAAATAAAACATCACGACGTTTCGATCGCAACACAAGCGAGTCTCACCGGAATAATGCGACGCAAATCGCGCACCGAGCTCGAATCCGCACCGAGAGAATTGCGTCTTCGGTCCGTAACATTGCGCGCAATATAAATTGTGTTATTATGAAATATATAACCCACAGGTTTCCAGACTGCTGGAGGGGTGTACGGGATAAGGGTTTAAAACAAAAACTATTTTAAGTAAAAAAGACTAATCTTGGTATTTTACGGGGCTTCACAATATTGAACAGCGCAGCTTACGCATCAACAAACTCCCAACAGCGCGTGCGCACGTGTCCACAAAAAATATAAAGGTCGGTAAATATCAGCGCTAATGTGGTGTTGGGGCAGTCAAGTCGGTCCCCCTTATGACCGTGGAAGCGATTCGTTCGTCGTGCCACCCACCAGTTAACTACCGCACACGCCGACAGGTGGCGAGTCGTTCATCAGGCGCCCACGGTGTTGCTTTTGGTTAGTGTTCCTTGCATTTTTGGAACAAGCATTATTCTGCTAATGCACTGTCAGGCCAACCTCCCCCCCCCCACCACCCTCCAAGGACTGTATAAGTAAAACCACTTAATTCGTTTGGCACGATTGATGTTACTTGGTCATAAAGCATAGCGCAGTCTCCAAGAACAAGGCACAAACGCTCGGGGCTGTGCACTCTTGCGGGTAAGCAGGCTTAATAAACGCAAAACAATTACGATATATTTATATTTTGTAAGAAATCCGACTACATATTTCTTTTTATTACCCTTACAAGAACTCGGTAACAGCTCAAAGTTTTCTCAACAAATACTTTTGAACAATTTAAACGCTACGGGTATGCAGATATTCACATTAGAAATGATAAACGTGAAATTCGAACGAGGGATGTCGGGGCAGTTTGGAATCGGTCTTAACGCAGGGGTCAGCAACCTGTGGCTGTTTTAAGGACCGCTTCGTGACCGTTATTTAAGGAACGCCGTCTCTTATTCTCATTGAATTGCGGCTCTTGAAATACATTGAATTGCTTAACGAATTCGATAAAAAAATGGCTCCTTTGTTATTGTGGTTGTAGACCCCTGGTCGAGGAACCCTTAAAACATTTAATCAATTAGCCAGTGTGTATAAAAAGTACAGAGCTCACCACCACCAAGTGTGATCTTCTTTGGTTCAAGCAGTTACTTTGGTCACCGGATAATGGAAGGCGTGCAGGTGTCATGGACCAAACATTTAGTCAAACGTACTGCAATAACTACACGAGTGGGCCAGTGTAGCATACCGAGTCAACTTGAAAACAAGCTCACGCCGCTGATGAAGACCTGACAGAGGGTGACAAATGAATTGTCTTAAATTCCAACGCACACACAATTAAGACTTGTGGGTCACCATCGTGACATTTTTCACCCCCCCCGCCCCTTTACCCGAGTTAAAGTCATCACAAAAATTGCTCGGATATTCCTACCAATTTCTAAAGGGTTTATAATGAATCAACCAAGTTGTAAAGTGTTAACTTGCAGTCCAAATTTTGTTCACGTAATTCTGACCACAATGGAGCACAGAACTCCATTTCAACAGGAAATGTTTGCATATAACCGAACTCTTTGTCCCTTGGCCCTTTAGTACGTATTTAAACGTACACACGTTAAAATAAATGAATGGCGTGTATGAACACCAAAAATTTGCAATAAAATGTGAAAGAATACAATGTCACAAATGGTTTTTCATACTTTATTGTGTACTCAAAAGCTGACGCTATGAGAAGCATTATTTACTATCATAAACCAGGGGAACAAATAGTACATCGCGGTTTGGTGTATAGGATTCACGTTGTAAAAAGGCCATGTAAAAATATATTCATCAGAATATCTACTACTTGTTACCCGCCTTGCATCACATTTTACTATTTTTCATATTATTCATTACCTCATGGCTGCTATATATGTTAATGACACAGAAAGCATTTTCCTTTAGATTGGCGAATGTCTTTTTTTTCAAAGCTAACATGACAGCTTAAATTACTTTCAACGAGCGTGAGCATTTCTTTTAAAAAAGTTGAGGAGAAATTTCACGTTTGAAAGTGAACGAAATAAATTCAGTGTTACAAGACACCCGCATCTTCCTTTGCCCACCCTCACTCACTATACACACGCAACGTTTATGTACACGCGCGACAACCAGTAGAAACTAGGTGCAATGCACGAAGCCATGACACAATGCCGTTCATCTTGCACAACAAATAAAAGGCACCCCAGTTGTGTCGCTCTACAAGAGAGCCGCGAGTGAAGACATCGGCATGGAACACTAAAGGCCCACGCCGTGGACAGTTCCAACCGCAGAATGCTGGCGGCGTGCCGGTCCCAAGTCTCTGCGATACGCACGTGATCAAACGGCGCCGCGATAATAGGGCTCGCGCTCAGTCGAGGCAGCTCCGCTCTCCGGGCGTCTTGTCACCACCGAGTGGCGACGGTGGGTTTGCGACGCGAGAGAGCGGCGGCAGCGACCTGGGCGTGCGCGAAGTCACGCGCGGCACCTTGGATTGTTGCATTTGCAACAGCTGCGGCATGGGCCTCAACGCAGGCTTCTTGCCCGTCGTCGCCCCCAAGGAATGTGTCGTCGCCTGGGCCCCCGGCGATAGGGGCCCCGGTGATTCCTCTCCATCTGCCGCCACTACGGTAGTCGTGGTCGTTGTCACTGTCGCCGGCACGGCCGAGGAGACCTTGACCTGCAAGGAGGAGAGAGATGCCGGGGGCCCCGTGGTGGCTGTGGGTTTGCTGGGTGGGTCGGGTAAACACCTGGCGGCCGCCTGCAGAGCCAACGTGGCCTGCTGGGACAGTGACAGGGTGGGAAGCCTCACACTGCATGGAATGGTGCCCATGGCGGAGGCGGCGTTTGTACAGCCAGATGCCAGAAACGTGGAGGGAAGCCGCGTTGGACGGTGGGACAAGGGGGCACGCAAGGAATTCCTGGTAGGGAGAGTTCTGGTGGACGCCGGGGTACAGCTGCTTGGGTGGTCTTTGCTGAGGTTATCTCCACGAGTTGAGGCCGACAATGTCAGAGGCTCGAGTGGCACTGGAGAGCTCGGTGGGGAAGGGTTGACAGTTGATCCTTTGTAGGAATGTGTAGGGGACACGGGTACTGGGCCTTCAGTGTCGGCATCGGTCATAGAGATATCCGCATTGTCCTGGTGGGCGTCATCAGCGTCCGGACTCATCGCTGATGCGAGACTGCCGACGCTGTCCACAGACACGGTTTCACAAGGCGTGTCGTTGCGTGCAACACTTGCATTGTCCGCGACGCCATCTTTTAAGGGGGAGACCTCATCACCTTTCGTACGGCATTCATTCGATTGTTCAACAGCAAGCGATGTTACGCTCACTATTTTGAACAAATCAGAATCTGCAATATAAGACATGCACACGCTCCAATTAACACGATAGTTAAAAAATCCAAGTCAACGCGAGTGACGGACGTGCAAATGCACAAAAATTACACGTGGTTAAGAGTAACACAAGATACTCCATGCCCTATTATGTTTGATAAAATACATACCCGGGACTTCCACCTCATCTTGCCCTGCAGTCTCGGTCGTCTCCATAAAGTCCGTACTGCTCTTGCCGTCTGGCACCTCTTTACCCGCCGCCCATGAGCTTCCATCAGCCGGAGCCCCCTCTGGCGATTCAGAGACCTGTGCCTTGTCGACCATGGCAACGCTAGCACCGAACTCCACCGCCGCTGGTGAACAGACGGGAGATCCCGAAAGTAAACTGGGGACGGGCCTGGAGCTGGTGCTAGTAACGGTGGACGACGTGGTGTCGGAGCACGAGTTTCTGTATTCCAGGGCCTGAGTGACGGTGTTCACGCCTGACGTGGGCACGTTTACGCACTGCAGGCGGATCGTGACAGACGCAATGCCTATACGCACGCACAAAAAAACATCGCCGATTTAACCTACGATGTTTACGTACGGCTCGTGTGTGTTTTGCCCATCGAGATTCTATCTCTTGAGGCAGGGACTTGGGACTGTCAGTATGTAGTTACTTGCTTTATACAGTTACACGTTGCACCATTTAAGGGTACACAAGTGGCGCAAGTAGCACACTGCACAATAGAACCCAAAGAGACGCGGTGGAGCCAGAGCTAACGTCAGTGGCGAATGATATCGGAACTGGCCATAGGTCACCTCCCTTCACCTACGTACAATCCCCAGCGTGAAGTAAATTAAACAACGCCCATAATTTGAACGGCTTGGGAAAACCTTCATCAAACAGCATGTTGACAAAGGGCAGTAGCATATATCTTTTCACCACACCTATAAATGATCACATAAGGAATGGTTGGCAAGAGTAATCCTTTAGAAAACTAACCTACATTACTTAAAAAGATGTTTTATACACCGAAATGGGGGGGGGGGGGAGGGAGGGGGGGCAGCGTAGATTTTTTTGTCTGTCACAAACAGGCAAGAAGACCACATAAAACAAACCGACTCAAACAATGCACAAGTTGATTGCAAGCGTGGGCCCCCAGCCGCACACGTACGAGCCAGACATTCTTACCAGGTACGCCAGCGCCCACTTTGTCGTGACCCTTGGGTGCGAGTGGCTTGCCCTGGAGGACACCCTGCGCCATGATGATCTGCGTGCCGGACGCGTTGGAGTGGCTCGGCAACATCTTCCCCTTCAGCGTGAGCACCTGCCCGTGGGAGGTCATCAGCAGGCCGTCGGATGTCACGTGGATGGGGGAGTCTTCCCTGGAAGAGGTGGTGGCGGCGCTGCTGCTGCTGCTGCTGCTGATGTTGGTCCACGTCGCGACAGCTGTCGTCGTGGACGGCAACTCGTGTGCTTCCACCGCGTCTGGAAGAACAATGGGTGCCGCGGTGGTATGCAAGTCGGAGGTTCGATCCCAACATCTGTATATTTGGCACTTGCGTGCCTCACTCCCCGTGGTCGCGTGGATTTTTCTCCAGGTCCTCCGGTTTTTCCCTCCACATTTAGAATCGACATGCGTTTAGAGTATTTGGCTGCTATAAATATCCACTCTGTTGAGCTATTATCCACTCTGTTGAGCTATTATTTGTGGCCAGGTCACTTCTGAAAAAGAGCTATATAGCGAAGTGGACCTTACCCGGTAAAATACATAATATATACATAGTTTAATAGTTTGCAATGCAATAAAGTGAGAAAACCAGGTACCGTGAAAAGAATAGCGACGGACGGAGCACGTTTTGTTACCGATGCAACGCTACATAAAGAATCTGCCCGCATGTTGTGGACAGGTAACCCAAGCTGTGTGGTCGAGCCGGGTTCTTGCACCGTGCTGACGTCATGCATTCCCGTACCCACCCTCCACGCAAATGCGACAGGGACAGAGGGAGGTGGGGGAGGGAGACGCTTGTGAGAGAGATTGAGACAGGTGAGGGAGGGAGATGGAGGTTAGGGAGATAGAGGCAGAAAGTGAGGCAGATGGAAGATATAGAGGGGAGGGAGGGAAAGAAAAAGAGACAGAGAGGAGAGTGAAAGGGAATTAAACCGAGTGTAAAGGTAAAAGTTTGGCTCGCTGGCTGGGAGGGACGGACAACTTGCGTGCTGCTAGTATAACTCAACAATCGTTATTCCATCGGCTTTCAAGACCAATATTATCAATCAGTTTTTGCATGCAAAAGCCAAGCATTTCTGTCAGTTATCTTCACAAAGCACACAAGTCAACGTGCGAGCAACTTAGCATTTCGCAAACAGAGTCTACGGATACACGGCAAGCGATGCGTGGGGTTGGGTGGGGAGAAAAATGTGCAGGATGAGGCAATTTCAGTACATACATGGGCGCTTGCGGGTGAGGATCAGAGGCCGGCTGCGGGCCACTGACGGCTTCTTAGTCGCTTGGGAGACCACGGATGACTTGAGTGGAGGAGCCGCAGGGATGGTAGGGGTGCACGCGGTCGTGGCTGTCGTATCTTCGTTCCCAGATGCGCACGCTTCAAGCTGCACAACGGTTTCGCAGACGACGCGTCACAAGAGAAACGAGTGGGAATGCATTTGCAACCGGGCCATTTTTTTACAGCAACGGTGCACATACTTTGCAAGGATTATTTATTAGTGTTTTAGAGATATATATATTTTATTTTACCAAGGGCCACTGAGCCATAAAAATTTTTCTCACAAGCGATCTGGCCACAAATGAAATAGCTCAACGAGTTGGCTTATCACATTGAAAATTATAGCAGCCAAATACTCTGAATCGCATGTCTCTAAATGTGGAGAGAAAAACCGGAAGACCCGGATAAAAATCCACACGACCACTGGGAGAACATGCAAACTCCAAATATACAGCAGGCGTCAGGGTTAGGATTGAACCCACGACCGCCTGTATACCAGGCAAGGCAGTTAACATCTAGTTACCATATATACGTTGAGACAACTGCGTTATACAAATACACATTTAACCTAAATGTCCTTCAGTTACCCACAAAAAGCTTCACAGGAATCCCAAGACTTTTTCAAGAGGGTCCTACATTAGGATGCTTTTGATCACTTCAAATAATGAGTCCTTGCCATGTGGGGCGGAACCGGAATGCCAGAAGAAAACTCATGGATATAAGGGTAAAGCTTCACATATATTGCTTCCTGGCAAACTGGTATTCACAGGCACTCACACACAATTACTAACCACGATCAATCCTGCTAAGCTTCAAACATCTCATGAGATCAGGGCACATTTAAGGTACTGTGGTCATCGGCAAGATTTTTTTTTATTCATTGGGAGAGGCAGGGATTGAATGATTGCTTATGGGGGGGGGGACTTGGATTAATGACGGGCGCAACTTGGAAGTTGAGGAAACGGGGACTTAATTTCTGTTATTAACTGCAAAAATATATTTATGTATTTCAATGCAATCGTAAAAAACCAGCAAGTGTATACCTGGGGTTTAAGAGGTGGCAGATGAGAATCCGGCTGGGGCTCGAGTTGAGGCTGTGGCTCACATTGGATCTGGGACTGCAGCTGAGATGGGAGTTCTGGCTCCTGTTGAGACTCCGACTGAGAAGGCAACGGAGACTTGGACTGGGCCTCCGGTTGAGATTCAGCCTGGGGTTGTATTTCCAACTGGTCCTCTGGCTGCTGCTCAAACTCGGACTTGGTTTGCGCTCGGCCATTGAGACTGGGCCGCAGTTGAGACTCATACCGAGCCTGCGGTTGAGAGGAAGAATCCGTCTCATGTTGGGAATGGGGTTTCGTCTGCCGCTTGGGCTGCGACTGCAGCGGTGGAGGAGGTGGCAATATACGCGCTTGTGGCGACGAAGGTTCATCTTCACTGGCCAGCTGACTTGACGCGTGTTGCCGATACCCAGCCGAAGATGGCTTGGGTGCTATCTTGCGTGGACGCCCTCTCAGGGGCTGGTTGCATGGTATAATGTACGTCTTAATGTCCTCATCGTGATCCTTTGGCGACGTCAGTTTAAGCTTTTCTTTAATTCTGTGCTTGGCACAGATGTACTCCAACTTTCTGATGATAACATCTTCTTTTTTCTCTGCAGGAAAAATAATCAGTTTAACACGTAGGCTTTCGCGACCAATATTATTCATAATAAAGGTTTTTGGGTTAGATCGCGTTTATTTATAAATGTGTCGTAACCCTCCACCACCCGACACGGCCAATCAGCAAAAAAAAGTGTCACGTTGACAAAAGACAAATAATTCACTACTTCAGCCCACCGGTGTGTTGAAGAGTTAATCCACATTTACAGTTTGAGTACTACGTTTCGCTGGAAATACTTCCAGCATCATCGGGCGAATTGCCCGATGATGCTGGAAGTATTTACCAGCGAATTGCCCGATGATGCTGGAAGTATTTACCAGCGAAACGTCGTACTCAAACTGTAAATGTGGATTAACTCTTCAACACACCGGTGGGCTGAAGTAGTGAATTATTTGTCTTTTGTCAACGTGACACTTTTTTTTTGCTGATTGGCCGTGTCGGGTGGTGGAGGGTTACGACACATTTATAAATAAACGCGATCTAACCCAAAAACCTTTATTATGAGGAAAAATAATAATAAAACAAAGTGGCATTAACTTTCTCAAATAGAAAGATAATTGATATGCTACATCAATTGTGTAACAATTAACTGTACCTCTAACCGAGTTAATGTTTGGCTTATGCATGCAAGTTAATTTATATTAATACACGTGATGTTCATGGGCAGGGGAGACATGCTACTGACAGGAATGCAAGACCAAACAAATTATTTGGAGTTGGCAGTGGAGCACAAGGACAAATAACACTGCAACTCAGATTCAAAGGTAAAAGATAAAATAGGTGATGTATTTACATATGTATAACTTCTTTTGAACCGTATGTAGCCAACCGTGCTAATCGGATGTGAGAAATATCGAGAAATGGCCCTTCTTCACAGCATATAGGCATCTGGTGGCTTATCTTCTCCATTGAAATTTAGCATTCTTAACGGATATTTCCATTAACACCACTAGATGGCAGGATAATCAAACTTGACTCTAAGAACCACGAATGTAGACATTTATATCGATGGAATTTTACCATTCCAATGCGATTCCTGTAGGAATCACAAGTGTCTTACTCTTGGGTTTCATTTTACACACCAAGACCTAATGAGTCGAGTAAGATTAACTTTAAACATTCTACTTTGGCCTGCCCAGCTGCTTTGGTTTTACAAATTAGGCAAGATAAGCTAGATGTAATTTCTGGGGAAACGTCGTACTCGGATTGTAAATGTTGTGGCTTTGCTCTCTAACACACCATTGTGCTGTACTAGTAATAAATCGGCATGTTCTGTTTAAGTGACAAACCTTACTAATTGGCTGTGGCAGGTTTAACGACATATTTACACGATCCAACCCAAAAAACCTGTATTATGGATAAGCAAGATACATTCAGAATTTTACAAATTAGGAAAGATACATTTGGAATGTTTTGCCTTTCTGCCTATAGAGTCTGTTGTCCGAATTCATTCTCATTGAACCTTGTTTAATTTGATTTAAATGTGTGCTTATGAACACAAATGTACATTAAAAAAAATAAACAAACTGTAGAATGAATGTCAGTGTGGCCACAGAGCGAGCCGACTGCTGCTGCTGCTGCTTACGCGTCATCCCAACCAACTTCCGCAAGAGGGCATCTCGCCGTCGAAGCTGGTTGTTTTTCTCAGCAATCATCCTGTCGCCCTGCTCCTGAAGATGCTGGATCTCACTGTGAGCCTGCAAGGGGAGCGACAGTGGTGGCACAGCACAAGGGCCCGTTCCATTAGCGACAATGAGTTTTTTATAATTCATAAAACAATTCTAGACTAATACAAGCAATAAAAAGCACTTCACAACATTTTTTCCCAATCAGATTTTTGTTATATTAAAATAGCTAACTATGGTGCGACTGGAATAGATCTTGCATAGTGAAATTTGGCAGGATGCGCAATGAAAACCGACGAGAAAGACAAAATTAGGTACAAAGTGGATACTGAGAGAAGGAAAAATAAGCATAGGGAAGACAGTGGAAGAGATGAGATGAAAGGGTTCGGAGGCCAATAGTGAACAGCAGCAACCAAAGAAAGGAGGGAATGGCAGATAATGCGAGGCGGCCTTTACCCAGCAGTGAGGGGAGTTACTCATTTATTGTCGAGAAAAACAATAAAGTTTGTCACTTAAAACATGAATACATTAATTGGTTAATCCTGAAAAAGATCCTGACATGTACACAAGCTTGTATGGCTTTAATAATGGGCAGCTTCATCTATGAGCTATGTGCACATTCAAAGCCATGGGGGATTTGATGCATAAACGCCTGTCAAAACCTGGCCCATTCTTTCAGGGTGGAGAGCCTCATTTGGGTTTAGTGCGTTCATCTGAAGACGTGCAGACAGGCAAAATAGTTTTTCCATCATTATCAAATTACCCTTTGGAAAGCATTCACATCCAAAGGCTTATTTTTGCCAATTCCATCCAGTCCATATCCAATGTTTATAACTTTGTCATGAGAATGATGGCAAGCACTTAAATAAAAAACTTGAAATATATTGCAAAATGTCACCAAACGAAGCTTTATCGAACATGTGTTTCAGCTATACACGGTTTACTTAACGAGCTGTTTTCCGGAACACGGGGGTGATGTGTAGGAATATACGTGGTTTTATATTGCCAAGATTGTTGCAAAGATAGATGTTAGATAGGCTTGCGAGAGGTAACAGTGCTACATCCGTTGGAAGGTACTATGATGTGGGTGAATCGACTGTGAGAATTTGTTTAGTACGTATATTTTTTTTGTGATAATATAACACTCAACTTGGTAACACACAATGCAAATGCTCACACACATTGCCGCATGCATCTTATATTGTGCCGCTTACAATATTGGACCAGCAGCTCATCACAATATTCATTCGAAGTTGATTAATCAAAAGTCAGTTTGAAAAGAGAAACTCTTAGATGTTTCTGAAAGTTTAGATTATTTTCTTTCCACGGTTTGCTGGAAAGTGAGTTACAAGCCTTAGGGCCCAGCATACGAGAAAGCGCGCTCCTCAAACTTTTTTTTTTACACTCGGGACGTTGTGGTCAGAGCTGTCTGTACAGCCCGTGATGAGGTTTGCGATGGGTGCGAGGGGTTTTGGACAAGTAGTCTAGACATGTTTATATAGGCCATGTGCATTAATAGGCAGAGTTTATACACTATCCGCAAAGTATACTGGGAGCCTGTGCAACTCTCAAAGAGCAGTTGGAGCCCTGGCTGGGGTTACTAATATTCGAGGTGAGGGAGGCTAGGTTTAGATGGTATGGACATGTGTGTTCAAAAGAGACAAATATAGATTTAGGGCTATGGAAATAATAGTGCAGGGCAAAAGGAGACTGATGTTGGGATGGAATGATGTTGTGGAACAAGTTATAAGGACAGTTCATGTGACCAGAGATTGGGCGAATTCTGCCATCCATCCCAGATCTCACCTGCTTTAGCAGGGCGTACTTGGACATCTTGGTGTGCGCTGGGAAACCCAGAAGGTTCTTGATGTTCTTAAAGAGATCGCGCAGCTCCGAGCGCCGTCGCCGCTCGTTGACCGTGTGCAGCGAGGCCTTGGGGTCGTAGAACTCGTCCATGGGCACCGAGAGCAACTTGAGTGCGATCAATTTCTCCAGCTGCAGTGAGCGCATGAGGCTCGACCGGTTTGGCTGAAGATAAGAAATACGTGGATGCTAAGGACACCGAGGTGAGGCTTTATTAGCTTCTAAAAACATTTTTTTCTTTTACTAGGTAAGGCCCACTGAGCTATATTGCTCGTTTTCAGAAGCGACCTGGCTGTCACAAGTGATCGGCCAACGAAGTGGCTTATGCGGAAACTTATCGCAGCCAGATACTCGAAACGCATGTAAATGTGGATGGAAAAACCGGAAGATCTGGAGAAAAATCCACGTGACCAGGGGGAGAACATGCAAAATCTAAATATACAGCAGGCGTCAGGGTGGGGGTTGAACCCATGACTCCCTGTACACACGGCATCCCACTGCGATAACATTTGCCTAAAATACTGGCTGATATGCACAACTGGTATCTTCACAATTCTGCCTGTATTTAGAAATCAGCAGCATGCGGTCACAAACGCTGGTGTTCTGTTGTACAAAGCAAAGTTGGGTTAAATATTGGCAAAAAAAGTCCCCAGTATCAATAAGGCTACAATTTCAAATACGGTTAAGCAAATGATTTTGTTACAAAATAAAATTGTACATATACCACACACCAATACAACTGCCATTATCTTGACACCGCACACATTTCTTACATGTAAACTATATCATGTGCTCAGAAGCCAGAGCACTAACAGTGGTATATTGTTTCATATTATTGAGCAAAGGATTATTTTTTACAGGAACGAAACAGTAGCTTATAGTATTGATGACCTACATGCAACCTTAAGACCATCAACCTTTATTTTCTCTTGGACTTCACATCCCTCTGCTCGGCACCGGCCTGCCTCATTGTTATCCACTCTTCGCAATCGCTTTTCACCGTCCATTCAGTGCGCTCCTATCTTATGGTCCGTCTAGTTCTCTCCTTCCCTCCAGTGTAAAAAAGAAAAATATTCTCATGTCCTGTCAAACCCAACTCCATTTAAGTTCACTTTGTAAAAAAATACTAGGTATACAAAATATTTATTTTTTTACCAGGTAAGAACCACTGAACTATACAGCTCTTTTTTTTAGAAGCGACCTGACCACAAACGATAGCTCAACTAAGTGGCAGCTTATGTGGAAATTTATAGCAGCCAAATACTCGAAATGTTTCTAAATGTGGAGAGAAAAACCAGAGAACCTGGAGAATAATCCACACCACTGCAGGGAGAACATGTAAACTCCAAATAAACAGGTGTCAGGGTCGAACCCACGACGTTCTGTATACCAGACGAGTTAGTTAACATCTGGTTATCCATAGTTTTAATGCTCAAATATTCATTTCAATTGTTTCCCCACCTTGTTGCATTCAATATTTTTCTATTAATGGTACACTGACTTTCAAAAGGTAAAGTGACCCAAAATGTGAAATGGGGCAATTGTAATGAGTGATGCACCCCCTGGCGAAAAAAGTGCAACATTGCATTTAAAACAATAAAATACAAAGTGGTAGAGGTGAACCATAACAAAGCTGCAAGCAGGTAATGATGTACAGTTATGGTAATTGTTATTTAGCACACATAATCACCCCATTCATAAGACATGCTGTTGTATAAACTGTACAGCTATTATATTACCATTTATATAGCACTTAAATATGTTCGTGCTTCTTAAAATGTGGCTTAAAGAACGCACAAGCAAAAGAGATTAACTGAAAAAAAACAGACAATGCAAAGAGGGATGCAAACAATGACTCGGCGTGCAACCGAAAGGGGCAACAGTGCCACAGAGGCTATTGCCAACGCATTACAGGATGGTCACGAGGCTGCTGTTGGTGAGAACGGGTGCTGTGGGGAGTGGTAGTGGAGCGGTTAGCACTCGATGCTATGAACCTGGCAACCTGGGTTCGATTCCTGGTCATAGCCAACACCAGCGACGATTATTTGAACCAGTCCTGGACCTACCCTAGGTCGACTCAGCCTCATGAGTAAGTGGTGCGATGTGTAAACATCGCCATTGGGCGTGGTGTTGGCCACCCACCCCTTCGTGTGCTGTGCCGGCCTTCATAGGTGCTCGCTAACAGCACTTGCCCCAACAGTCTGTTACAGGTTATAAGGGGGATCTTTTTCTTTGTTTTATCATCTGACCGAAAGCCAAAATGGGCTTCCACCTAGTTTCAGCTACCCTGTGCCAGGAGTCCATCTAGTTGAGTACCTCTGTTCTAAAATTACCTTCTTGCCAAGACGTTATGAGCAAGAACACTCCCCAAAATTGCAGGCTTAATTACAGCGGATGACAGCAACGCTCAGTTTAACATGTAGGCTTCCGCGACTAATATTTATAATAAAGGTTTTTAGGTTGTAAACCTCCACCCTCATTCCAGTTTTGTTTTTAAATTGTTAGTTATTAGTTGGGAATTGTTTGTTATGAAGTCTAGATAATGTATATTTGGTTAGTTTTGGTGAATAACACACTCCCTTTTCCTAGATATTTTGCTCAGACGCTGGTAAAATAACACAGCGTTTACAGAAATGGAACGCACACTTATGCCTATCTGAATGCAGATTCGCATCATCACTCCACACATAAATCCTCTCTCATCAAGACGCTCATACATCGGGCTAAAAGTGTCAAATGGCGAAAGTCTGAGGAGACAGATTAAACATGTTAAGCGCTACAAATTAATGGCTACTACCATGCTCAAATTAACAGAACATTAAATGCCAAACCTAAATCGAAGAGCAATACTGCTGAAAGTGATTAGGTTATTAAAACAATGAGAATTCCATATATCGCGGGACTAACTTGCCAAATTAGCTCGAGTTGTGCAAAAGCAAAAAAATCTTTGGCACAATACACAAAATTCAAAAACCAGTATCTTGTACTAAAGCTGAATTGCCTAAGTTATTAATAGCTGTGTATCAGATTAATAGCTTATGTGGCAGATGCTATATTGGACAGAAGGGATGCAACATTAGCGCAAGACTAAAAGAATATAGTAATAGGTTTTTACCCTTTTAGCTGGCACAAAAACTGACATTTATACAAGGGATCATGTTTGCAATAACCACAATACAAGCAGTCAAAAATGCAAACAAAAAGAGACAACTGATAATGATATGCACTGTCCTTGAATTTAATTGGTCCACGCCCGAGATGGCTTTTCTTAGAGCCTAGTCTCCACTGGTGTTGGACCAGATGACGCCAAAAGGTGTACAACTCAAAAAACAGCACACTATCAGAGTATTGAGAGCTCGGGGTAAGCCTTTACATTATGAGACCTGCTTTGCCAGTAACAATATATAGTAATAGGTTTTTACCCTTTTAGCTGGCACAAAAACTGACACCTTTATACAAGGGATCATGTTTGCAATAACCACAATACAAAGAAATATTTAATACTCTCAAATAACTGTCGGCAGTTGCAGAACATGCTTGCCAACAAGGACTTGATTTGATAACGTTGAAGTGTTGTTTAAAACTAATTATTACTGGCCAAGACTAATTCAAAAATCCATTGAAATTGAGAGAAATATAAATAACTAGCCTTTTGCCCATCCAAGGACGGGTGTATTGCAGTAAATCTGAAACTTGCAAGCGAAAAGCACAGACCGTGACGTGATATTCATTGCATCCATTCGTGTGCAATTTGTAAGGATGCGGTGACAGACCTATTTCATTTAAAGGTTATAATCCCATGTTCATCAAGACGTCCTTTTTACTTCGATGTCTCAACAGCGTTACTGAGAGGGGGGAGGAGGCGCCTTGGCCCCCCATGTGGAGTGACGTCAGCCGCAAATTATGAATGGGGGAGGGAATCTATTTGGAGGACGTCACCTTATAATGATTATTAATGAAGGGGACTGTTCGATGGGGAGTGACATCACCTTCTCATGATTATTAATGAGAGCTGTTCGATGTGGAGTGACGTCACTTGTGCATGATTATTAGTGAGGGGTGGGGGGGTGTCCATTTGGACGTCACCTGCTCATGAACATTAATTAGGGGGGCTGGTGGATGTGGAGTGACGTCACGAGCATTAAGGACATACATTCCTGGGTGATTATAGTAGGCATTTTAACCACTGACAGCTACAGGCTTAGTGCGGCCTGGGCGTGTATTATTAATTATAGAGGAAACATACTAATAGACTGATTACTAGTCTATTATATAGTTAAAACTAGCTTTACTACTTGGCTTCGCCCAGGACTTGGATTCACCATGCCCGGCCGCCTTTGTCTCCCCAGTGGCGATGTTCACACACTACACCAGTTACTAGTTTGAGGCCGAGTCGACCAAGGGGAGGCCTATGACCGGTTCAAATAATCGTCACCGGTGGTGGCCGTGAGCGGGAATCGAACTCGGGTCGCTGGGTTCGTAGCGCAGCGCGCTAACCACTACACTACCGCTCCCCCCACACACAAACGCGTGCGCGTCCATAGGTACACATACATGCGCTTGCTGCAGACACACAACTTTCAGGGTGCGTACGGCAGTAAACGACTTAAATAAACACATTCCTGCGGAGGGAGCTGGTAGGAACGTTGGGTTGCTCGGTCAATGGCCAGGGTTAACGGTGGCCCGTGGTGTATTCCGCAAATATGCCCGACTGTGAGGGCGGGCACAAGCCGGCGTGAGGTTAAACGTTGAGTTTTATAAGGGCACCACGGGGTGACCAGCCCCTCCCCATCCAGCCCCACCCCCCACCCAGCCCCACCCAGCCCCTCCCTCCCCACCCAGCCCCTCCCTCCCCACCCTCCCCTCCCCACCCAGCCCCTCCCCACCCCACCCCTTCCATTTTATCCGGGTGTCCGGATACACGTGGACAGACATCCACAGACATACACAATTAATCCCCTGCCTCCTGTGAATTAATCCCGGTTGGGCTTCCAGTCCACTACGTTTCCTACCAGTATTAAGCAATGCTGCGCGAAGAACGCCTTAGACCTGCAACACATTTGTATTTCACTTTACCCGCGGAGGGTGGGGGGGGATGCGTGACATCAGGAGGCACACTCCGTTACGCTTACGCATGCGCGGGTGACATGACAGATGTGACGTCACAGCTCACTTGCCGTGTAAAATAAATGCATTTTATTGCAGACAGTTTGTAAAAAATTGAAACCCTCCGTAAGTGTGCTTAAGTTTATAATTTATTTAACACAATCAGGTTACATGGCCAGAGTGTAAATCCCTTACCCGAACTTCCTTGAGGATATCATCGTCTGAATCACTGCTGTCGCTCAACTCCTGGTTTGAAAATTCGGGGTTATGAAGTGCACACCTGTAAAAGGACAGCAGAAAAGCTACACGCGACTGACCAACAAACACCATTGGCGTGAAGATGGAAACAAACCAATATTTCTACTGCAACCCTTTTACAAGAGTGGTTAAAGTGAAATAATGAAGGAACACGTGAAGCAATGCAGCAGGTACTTACTGGGAATTCATGCCGTCTTTCTGTGCCACCCTTGATCTCAGCAAAGAAAGATTTTCCTTCATTTTGGTGTCCACCACAGTCTCTATGTCCATATTTTGTTCAGGGTAATTGATACCAGAGACTTCCCCCTCAGACTTTTCGCAAAGAAAACATGTGGTTCACCATCGATCGGTTAGCAGGCAACAGGTGCTCAGGACAAGTTAACTGTGTAGTAGGCATATGCATGTTTACATTTAAAATATAAAAATGCATATGCATGTCTAGGGGTTGTTTTTTTATTGAAGGCAATGCGATGGAAATGGAAGTGGGGTTTTGAAGCTTAAAAGTTCTGTACAACGCCACAAAATGAAACGAGGAGTATTTGTGGATCCCGTTGGGTATACCTCAATCATTAGATGTGAATAGGTGTTGCAACGTTTATGCAGACCACGAAGCGAAATCAAAAATCCTATGAAAATGGAAAAATAGCAACTTAATAAAAGTTTCCTAATTTCCTTAGTAGCATAATCTAGCACAGGTGTGTCAAACTCAAAGTCGGACAATGGGCCGGTTTGAATTCAAATGCACCTCCCGTAGGTCACCCAGTTGGGCCTATAAAAATCATAATAATACGGTGTTAATTTACTGATTAAAAATCCAAAAGTGCAGTAAAAGTGTTGATTTTTTTTTTGCGGCAGGACGCACCAAATGCCCTGTTTAAATGCCTGGTTTAAATTCATGTTGAATTTTCGGTAGATGACTAAAAAATATGCAAAAAGTTGCTTGGGGCGACAGGTCCGACCCGAGGTCCGACCCGAGGTCCGACCCGAGGGCCGTATGTTTGACAACCCTAATCTGGCGAAAAATATTTCCCTTATTGGTGAATAAAAAAAAAAGGATAAAATGCATATAAACGGTGGAAAGTTGTTTGGCATCCAATCGTTTATTTCCAGCTTGTCATGCCAAATCAAATAAATTATTACATTCAACTGAATTGTACAGAAATTACAAGAAAAATGAACAATAACACAAAGTTAATTCGAAGGCATGAAATGTTAATTTACATTGTTACTTTTCACATCCACAAAATCATCCCAGTAAACGGTGTACACTTACTAAATTTTCCACATCCACTTCGGAATCTTCATCACTGGACATTTCTGTCGACTCGTCGTCCATAGACTGCGCCGTTTCTCTGGCGGCGGTGTTTGCCGACCCCGACTTATTGCTCACCGAGTCTTCTTCCTCTGTCTTATCTGCGTCCTCGTTACTTGCAGTCTACAAATAGAATGCCAAACTCTAGCTCAGGCGAGTATTGCGGTGGACGGTATAAAGCACAACAAAAGACCGCGCGCTGCTGACAAAATGAACCCTTTACAGTTCCTATGACGTACGCACGCGCCGATGACGTACGTGTACAACATACATGCGCATCGCTTCAGGTGTGGTCGTAAAATAGTTGTACAGCTATCACTAATAGGAGCCAATAATGTATGTGTAACACGCGTGACGTCACTCATGTCGACCAGCCCCCCTCATTAATAATCATGAACAGGTGGGGTCCTCCACATGGACCCCCACCCCCCCAGTCCTTAATAATCATGAACGGGTGACGTCACTCCACATGAAGGTGGAGCGGAAACGAACATTTGTTTCCGCAAATTAGCTTTAATTTTGGCTTTTCTTTATGGAAATTAAAGCTAATAAAGAAATCAACGCAGCAACTAATATAACGAGCCAAAAAAGGCTGTGTCCCGCGCGTGACGTCACTCCACATGGGCCCCCCCTCATTATTATTCAGGTGTGCCTGGATTTTTTGACTAACGCAGGTCGAGCGGCTATGATCATTTTTTACGCTTTCGATTTTACGAATCTTTAAAAAAAGTGAAGGCAATAAATAATTGTACGCCGCAGTAGTGCATTTGGCGCCTTCATTTTTTTCTTCGGCACGTCCAACAAATTGTTTTCCATCCAGCGGACGAAAGCGGAAGATACGTATCAGAGCAGTGAATTGCAAGTAATTGAACGTCCGTTAAATACAGTGCTACTGTGACATTACATCAGGTGTTTGATGACAGTTGCGTGCAACAACCACTGCCATTAATGCAGTGCTGCGGTCAAATGCTGTGAGGTGTTTAACCACGTATTTTTGTGCAACATTCACTGCTATTAATAGTGCTACAGTGAAATGCAGTGAAGTGTTTGATGACATTCTTTCTTTCAATATTCCTTACCATTACATTTAGACAAGATAAAATTATACTTCGATAATTTTTTTCGGAACTCTAATGCTTCTCTTTGGTCTTCGTTATTTGCTAAGTTACTTCAGACAGTATCAGCACTCTACTTTCTTCACTCTTCGCTATCAAGCGTCCATCGGTGAAGATACATTTGTCAGTTAACAGCTTAAGGTGATTTGAAAACAGTGCTAAAGTGAAGTTACGGGTTTTTCTCAAATTATACAGCCAGATATTATTTGCCTTTGCCTATTGCTAGCTAGATTTGGCTCCTCTGCAGATTACACTGCCCCTATACAGTGTCTAAAAAGCGCTGTCTAGATCTAAATATCCTCAGCGGATCAAAGTGTTCATCAAGGATAGTCAACTGCAGGGAAACCTTTTGAACAGTGATAAGAGATTCACATAAAATATCGTATACTGAGAAATCTTCCAAAGTCCTTAATTTCATTTAATAATTTAAGAAAAAAATATTTACGTGCTACATTCCCTAATTAACTTAACAATCATGCAATAAAACGTTAACTAACATCTTCAATATTACAGCTTCTGTCCTAGGATGGACTAACAAGCTAGTTAATAATTCTACTTGTGGTGTTGATATCAAAATTTCTGTTTATATGTCAAGTGTTGATGTCAATGTTTTTCCATACCAAATTTTTATCGGAGTTGTTGATGTGATTGTTATGAATGTTTATGCTCTGTCACATTATTGCTGTTGTTGATTTAAAGTAGGCTAGCAAGCACCATTTGGAAAGGAATAGCAATAAATCCATATCGCTTACAATTCACTCAAGTTATATCCTGCGCAAATCAGTGGGTAGAAATAAACTAAAAGATAAAATTACCTTCGCGACAATGGGATTCACTGCATCGCCTTCAGCTTGGGTTTGTTCACCACCAGGCATTGCTTGAGGAGATATCAGAGTTGGATATTCCAATTTCACTTCCATCTTTATAGGGTGACAAATCTCCTCCGGACTAACCTTCGATTCCTTGCTCATTTCCATATCTAGTTTACGAAGCCTTTCTTTCCACAACTCTTTCTCGCGTTTGATCTCCAAGTTTTTCGTTGCCTCAACCAAGCACATCTCTAGCGCCGTCATTGGTCCACCCGACAGAACCTTCTCCGCTGTTTGTTTCGATACCGCCTCGCTAGATGGCATCACAGTGCTTTTAGTCACGTTATCTGCAGGCAGTTGACCAGCTTTCACGGAAGACGATTTTGATGCTTCAAGAGTGGCTACCTCGACACCCTTCGGAGCCGAGAACGAAGCTCTGGTGGTTGAGGCAACCTGCGGAACCTCAGTCCGTGCCACAGTCAACATGGTTCCAGTTGGTCTCATTTGTAAACCGAGGCCAGTGGGGTTAAGAGTGTGGACCACCAAGCCTGCAAATAACAAAACAAAGTCCACTGTAAATATGTCTATTTGTCACACTGCTGAAAAAGGCCATTATATTTACTTCTGCACGACCAAATGTTATGTTTATGAAACCCAATGTGACTCGCTAACAAAAAACTGCTTTCAAGAAATATGTATGTAACATTTAATAGCAACAGCAATCAACACATAGGCGGGGAAAAAATAGTGGCTTGAGGACAAAGACAACAACGATCTTTGAAAGATCATTATAAATTGACCACTCTTGTCTATTGTCTTTCAGGGGGTGAGATACAAGTACAACGTTTGAGTGATTATAATATCAGTTGACCTATGGAGTGATTATTACATGGCATGATAATATGCTAAAATAAGTAATATTTTAAAAAACTTTAAAAAACACGCTTTAATGAAATGTACCGTACTAGTAATGGAAGAACTCCACGACTCCAGGAAGTGGCCCCGAAGCTTGCCATAACGTAAGGGGCCATGGTCATTCACAGGCAACGTCAGTTTACCGTGGATAATTATAGCCAAGCCGAAATATAACATATAAAATAGAATGTTTTAAAATATGTTTTTTTTTATGAATATAGTATTAAATTTCGATTCAAAGCTTTCGTGACTGCAATGATTCATCTTCTTTGGTTCTTTCGGTAAAGTCATGTAGAATGAGAATAAAATAATAAATTGATAAAATAAAATAACACAATAATATTCTCACGACGTTTCGGCCACAACACAAGCGGCCTTCATCAGGTGAAGGGACGAGACTGTCTGGTAGGACGAGACTGTCCTACCTGTTGTGGCCGAAACGTCGTGAGAATATTATTGTGTTATTTTATTTTATCAATTTATTATTTTATTCTCATTCTACGTGACTTTACCGAAAGAACCAAAGAAGATGAATATAGTATTGTCATCAGTATAACATAAGTATACCAAGTTTGCAGTCGATACCACATTTGGAGGTGGGTTAAAATTGAGTTACAAGATTTGAGGATACAACAACAGAGTTAAATAAAAGCATGTCATAAAATTATTCCCGGGGGGCCCTTCAGGTGGACATGAGAACTACCCGATGCTCATTTGAGAATAGGGAAAGGCCAAGATGTGTTTTGCTGTTGAGATTACCGGTACGAAGGGTGGTGTAAGACGGGGGCTTGGGAGCTTCCGCCGTGGTGCTGACGGGATGGCGAGGCCGTGTTGAGCGCACAGGCACCAGCTGCACGAGCTGCCCACTCGGGTGACGGTACAGCTGCATCCCGCTGGAGGCCTTCACGGGCTGCAGAACCATGCGCTGGCCCGGAAGTAGCATGGGTGCTGGTGTGGGGAGGCGAATTGGGTTATTTGTCGTCGGGGTCGCCGGCGGTCGCACCTGCGGTGGCTGCATGGGGATGAGCACCAGTCGCTGCGGATCGGCCAGTGAGACTTCGCGCACTATGGGAATGCCTGCGTACGCACGAAAGCCATTGAGCAGTGAGTGGCGAAGGCAAATGATCGGCGACTGTTAAAGTTCCATTTGAAAAACGTTTCTGAAGCTTCCAAACCCTCTGTTTATTCCGAAGTTGCTCTTTGCTGCTGCAACATAGCCAAGATCGTTCGCTTGTTCAAGTAGAGGCTTAACACACTCCTCATCTCATCTGCCAACATCCCTTCACTATGCCCGTACCAACATTCGACCTCTCTCCTCTCTGAAAATCCTAAGGATCCTCTTTAAGTTCATGCTCCTCCTTCTCCCTCCAATTTATACATATTTAAATGTAGTTGAAATGACAATAAATAAAAACAATATTGTATTACTTTAAAACATTATTTCAATGAGGCTGACAATACAAGATTAAACTTAATACAAACAAACATGAACTACGCGTATTTTTTTATATCTACGCATGCCAATTTACCATGTCCTACGGACAACAGCTCACGATGCGTCGACATACCGGTGGGCAGTTGAAGGCCGCCACTCAGATTGACGGCGACTGCTTGGCTGCTGGAAGTAAAGGGCACCGCTATAGGCACTCCTGCCGAAGCCGAGGTGGTCACTGCCCGGGTTAAGCCAGCAGTGGCCGACGATGAATCCTTATCGTCTGCCGTAGTTTCCCCGGATGCCGCTGACATAACAGCTGCTTCAAGTTCTCCAGTTGCAACAAGTCTACCAGCTGCCAAAGATCTACTGGCTGCCACAGGCCCACTGGTTCCAACAAGTTCACCATCCGCAACAGGCCCACAAGCTACAACCACGTCAGCAGCGGCCGCTGGCCCGGAGGCTGTGAGAAGACCATCTGCTGACACAGGCCCATCGTCTGTAACAGGCTGGTCAGCCATAGGAAGCCTATTAGCTGTAACAGGACCACCACTTGCCACAGGACAATCGGCTGCCACAAGACCACCAGTTGACACAGGACCATCAGCTGCCACAAGACCAGCAGTTGCCACAGGTCCATCAGTTGCTTCAGGTACAACAGCTGCCAAAGTAGCACCAGATGCCCCTGGAGCAGCAGCAGCTGCTCCAGACGCCACGTGTGTGCTGGTCGCGGAGGATGGGCCGAGATTTCTGGACTTGGGGAAAGACTGCCCTGCAACCAGAGTACCCACTTTGTTCACAATCAGGTGCGTGACGGCATTGTTGCCTGTTAACGAAAAAATGTAAAATGTAAATACACAGTAGGGAAATTCGTATTTAAAAAAACCTCACAATATATAATTCTGGAAATGTACATCAATTAACATCATACATTACAACATCCTGACGATCTGGACGGCATTACCAGAGACATCAGCAATATCAGCCAAACCGGACTCATCAGAGCAGGCGGGGGCGGGTGGTGGAAATGAATACATTTTTAAAAAGTTCACATTCATCTTTCAGACTGGCTTATAATCGAAAAAAATATGGTGGGCAAACATTTCAGGCAATGGCCAATCTTCATATTGTTATAAAACATGTTCCAAAAACCTTACCTAGAAGGGAAAGCAGAATATACACACCTTCTGTCTTAATTTAAATCGGACATGCAGAGCATTTCAGAAGCCAATCTGTATTTGAAAGGAGCAGACGGGCAAATGTGGAAAGCTAGTCCATGGTAGGTCATTAGGACTGGAGTTTGGGAAGCCTTATTTTAAACTATGCATCTTGTGATCTGGTAAACGCAGCTTGCTGAAACATCAGTAGGATGCAAATTCTTACCTGCAGTGGGCAGCGCCACAGTCCCATCGGGCAGAGTAATCGACACGGGGGACAGCGGCGTGGTCACCAGTCGCGTCGCCGCATGGAACGCCAAGTTGGTTCCAGGCGACGGGCTCCCTACCGTGCTGACGAAAGGAGCCGTCCCAACCGATTGTCCGATGGCCTGCAGGGATCCCATCTGTCCGACTAGCAGCTTGGCGTGCGTCACCATGTTACCGTTGACCTGCAGAAAGGGAGAATGCCCGCGGAGTGTCAGGTTCCTCTTCGGAACCATACTCTGCTGATTCTCGGCCGGTGCCATAGCCTGCAGTGCCCCCATCTGTCCGACTACCAGCTTGGCTTGCGGTACGAAGTTGCCATTCACCTGCAAAAGAGAATGGCCATGAACAGTCAGGTACTTTATATCGATTAACGCAGCCCATCAAATTGGCTTAATTAACCTATGACCGAGGCAAACTTACTGCATATAATACGGGGCGCGATGCATTCACGTGATCTTGTACACAAGCTGCACCATCCTTGTGAATGCATTACAGGGCTTGTGGAGTTTTTAATCTGAAGAAATATATCTTTAATAGTTAGGTAATAACATATAAACTATGATTAATCGTCTGAGTTATTGATATTTAATTACATTGTTTAAAAAATATATAAAGGCACTGCTTTATGAAAATTCAAGCCCAAGCTAAAGACCTATCTTTCGGCCTATGACTTAAATCACACCTTTACTTAAATATATACATGCCTCCCTATTCAGTGGTGCCTATGATACACGTCCCACTATTCTGCACAATAACTTAAGATGGAGTTGCATTTATACAGTACAGATATGCAAACATTGTCTTACGCACATGTGTACAAATATATGTAAAGCTGCATACCTGTATTATGTTTACTCCTTTGGCGCCGGAGTTAAACACAGCTTGGGCTGCAGCCGTGGTGAGAAACAGAGTCTTGTTGTTGAGAGTGCCTCCTTTAGCTGCCGCAGACGTCCCAGCGGCAGACGTCTCAACTCTGGCAGTGGAACAAGGCATGCTCCTCTTCACCGGTGGGGAAGACTCGGCTCTCGCACCCTCAACAGATTTGAGCTCTTGGTGCGATGGGACATCCTTTTCAAGTGCCTGTTTGCATTCAACCTGTGGCTGTACAAGATTCTGTTGCTGTTCATTTTTTTGTTGCTGCTTTGGAAGCAGAAGCAGCACCTGATTTAGTTGTTGTTTATTCTGCTGTGGCTGACTTTGCTGCTGCTGCTGCTTTGGCTTATCTTCCAGTCGTTGTTCTTGATGATGTAGAGGATGAGATTGCATCCGATTTTGTGGCTCATGCTCTGGCTGCTCATTCTGTTGTTGTAGCTCTGAATGACATTGTACACCCTGTGGTTGCTGCTGTTCGTTCTCTAGCCGTTCATCTGGTTGCTTCTTAGCCTCGTGTGGTTGAGTCTGTTCCTGCTGATTAAGATCCAGCTCCTTCTCAGAATTCTGTATTTCATTCTGCACGTGCTCTTCCGATTGATTTAGTGCCTGCAAAAGCTGCTTCTGCAGCTGCTGCGGTTGCAGGCTTTGCTGCTCTAGTGGCGGAGAACTTTGTTGGGACTGCAACCAATTCAGCTGTAGCTCATTCTGCTGTTGGCACTGCTCCTCTGAAGCATTGTCGCCACTGTTGGAGCTTCGGACCGAAGCCACTGCCGCCCGCTGCTTGGATGGAGAAGACGCTGATGACAACTTGGGGTTGTAGATGATCTTAACCCTGGAGCAACACATATGAGATGGGAGGCCCGACAAGTATGAAACTGTCATCGATGGATCGCGCTTCTCCTTAAAACGCTCCTTGTTGTCCAAGTGCGAGATCTCCAGTTGCAAGTCTCCCAACTGCACGGTGGTTACGTCACCACTGCTCTGCCCACCGGAGTATTCTGCAATGGCGCTGAGCACGCGAGTGCGCTCTGCTTCCCAGTTGCAGTTCGACACGATCTCGATGAGCTTGGACTGTGGCAAGCCACTTGGATGCATCTGTTGCTTCAAGGGCGTAATCACTGGAGTGATCGGGGGTACAACGTTCCATGCCACTGTAAGCGGGGTCAAAGCATTGGCTTGTATGAAGCTCACAGAGCCAGTCTGGATAGGAGGCACTGGCGGGCGCAATGCACCGCCTGAGCTTGAGCTGCCAGTCGTTTCTTTTTTAGATGCCTTTGGCAGTGTAGAGCTTTGTTTTTCCAACTTTTCTTCCTTTGGTATGATCCCTGCAATTTTGCAAAACACAAAAATTATTAGCAGAGCCATGCCGAGTACGGCAATTCCCCCATGCCCTAATCGAACAGCATTAAGTGACACATGTCAATTTGTCTGACAAAATAAACACGTACCTTTGAATTCTTTATTGAATTTGCCATTGGACTTACTTGGACCCTGAAAGATGATCACAAAATAACAAAATTCAAAGCATTAAAATTTAATATTATTTTTCTATCTACGTGACTTTACCGAAAGACCCAAGAGTATTAATTAATTACTGTTTTTAAACATTACTCAATGTATTATGCATAGGGCGATCGTCAACACGCTTCAACTACATCACATTTGAACTCCATTTTAGTGCCAGGCACCCATTCTAGACTGGCTGCCTAGAGAGTTTTTGTGTAGGGTTTCTGCAATGATGAGGTTCTTGTCGCATTTTAGCTCTTTTAGTGAGGAGGGAAGTTCACCGTCCAGAGTTAAATGCTTGTGGTAGAAGCTGTTAGCTAACAGAGCCCTATTGGAGAGCTTACAGGTTTTATTTCATTTCAAAAATGGTAGTTAAACCTCTCCATCGGAGTTATCGTTCAAGAATGTTTATTATTCACGATTTTATATTTGTATACCAGCTTAACTGTCATGCCTTTTTCCTCCGACTATTCGCTTCTTTGACAACGCCACATCATGGAGAGGGGTACTTTACTTGCGCAGTACAGTAAGTGGATTGTGGCCCGTGTGCCGCCATTAATGATGCCGAAGCTTTTCCTCTTCAAGTGCCGCTCATTGTGGTATTTTAGCCTTATGTGGCGTTTATATTTTTTTATCATGGGGATATAAGCGTCGTCGAGTTGAGGGAGTGAGAGCAAGAGTAGAAGGCAGAACAAAGTGACGAATTTAGCTCAACGAGGAGAGTTGGTGAATATAATTCCTCGTGGTGATAGTGGGGGGAAGGGTCACATGTTGGCCATCATTGCATAGTAAACGAGAAGGCAGTTAGTGAAAGTGTAGCGGCAAGTGGACCGATGACCGCCAAAAGAGTATCCGTCATCCTCTCTCCATCTTATCTCCCAAGCGACCCTTCGCGGGTCCCAGGTCACGTGTTCCCAGCCTCCCGCGAGGAGGCAGCGAGGTTAGATTTTTATTCCTGTAGTGTAAACTACCGTACACGGATACGTATACAGTATTGCACACTACGTAAATGTTTCCTCATTTTATGTGTTTACCGTAGAAGTTATATTAAACACTAAAAAATATTAATCATATTATACATTCACAATACTTCCTGATTAATGTTTGGATTGATGTCGGCTAACATAAAATACGAGGGGGTGTCGTATTACGAACTGTGAACCAAACCATAATTTTCCTATTTGCCTCTCAGTTTTTGGATCGTGGATATACCTACCGATTGTAGCTATTTTCAAGAACACAACACCTGCCGCCATGATCAAGGGTTTGCTGGATATTGATGTTATTTAAATGTACAGTAAAGGATTAATGTTATGAAACATTTACATTCTCCCCTATGTTCAGTGGTACACAGGAACCTAATCCCATTTTTACAAATATATACATCTTATAGCACTCAGGAAGCATTCTTGGTAAACGAAGCACTATACAAAAACAGCACTAGAGGTCATTATAACATGGTTCCAATGGAGATGCGTTACAGACAGCGCTGTGTTTTAGGAGCGGTTTACAAGGGCTTCATTTCTGCATCGGTTGATGCAACCAAACCCAACCCTCCAACCGACATCAACCTGACCTCTCCCACCCTCCACACTCCGATGCCTTTTCCTTGACTGTTTAGTAAAATTACCAGCACTATCACTTGCAAGCATTTTTCCAGACATTGTGGGTCAAAAATTTTATCAAAATAAAGCAAAAACATTTACCGGAGGTCGAATTTTTTTTACCGTGCAGGGATTTTCAGCGCAGGGATCTGGCACGAGAATTTTCCTCCAGGACAAAGTGTTAGAAAGAAAGAGTTATAAAGAGAAATGCCTGTATCTACATTGGGGCAGATTTTCAAGATTTCAAGAACCGAACCCTTGCAGATGTCGAGGCCTTACTGTATTAGCACTAAGGCAGCATGCATTGCGCAAACTTGTGGAGCGCGGAGGTTGCGTATTGCGTGCCAAAAAAAACAGGCGCAAACAGGACTGCGGTGGTGGCGCAGTAGTGTCATCAGGTTACGAAGGCTGTCGGTGTCAAAACTGATCTGAAGAAACAGCCCAGAGCCAGCACAAAGCAAGCAATGGAAAATAGATTCCAGTGGCCGATTGGGTGTAGGCCGTCAGCCTGAGGTGCAGCGGCGAAGGACGAAGTGACGTGGCGACTAGCACACACACCACGCGGGTACATGGAGTCCTCCTTGGCCCCAAATTGCCACGTGGCAACACCTTTCCAGAACCCAGAAGACAAACACGGACAGGAGCCTTTGGGCAGATCCAGCCTGCACCATGATGGGTCGCAGTCATAGGCAACGTCAGGGCCATAAAGGAGGTCCTGATTATGTAAATAGTGCACCTCCTCATCCGGACTGGAATCAAGAGAGCTCCAAGGTTTCTACTCGGAGGTTGATGAGACTTTCAGGAGGCTGACAGACATCGAGATGAACAGGGCTTTAGGAAGGGCGAGGATATGGACCTAGCAAGAGACCTGCAGGGCGGCCGCAGAGTTAAGAGTTGGTCATTCCAGATCTGAGAGGCTCCTGAAAAGGCCAAGGGTGAGAAGCCCCTCACCCTTCATTTACCGGTTAGGTCCCAGTTGATGGAGCTCCATTAGACCAGCACACTCAATATGGTGACATGAGTGGGGAAGACCCAACAAAAGCTTTCAGGTCCCAAAATTATGTCGAAGCCTGACACACTCTACTACCAGAGATTCGGAGTGAAGTGCTCACTGCCCTCCTTCTCGTGGATATGGCTCTGGTGAGGTGGATCCTGCTAAAAAAAACAATCATGGAGCCAGCAGAAGGGGCAGTCAGAGGCCAACAATGTCTTCTTAGCAGTGTCATTGCCACTATAATAATGTACTTATTTATCCAGGAAAGCCACCCTAAGTTCTACAAATTATTTATTTCAGGAGGGTCTTGCATCGAGTAGTAATTTAATATGCTTTAAGCCAATTAATGAGGTTTATGTAAGTGGGAGGAAATCACAGCATCTGCAGAAAACCCACGCACAGGTGGGGGGGGGAGCAACACGATCCCCGTACAGATGTAAACAAATATCAACTAATCAGCCTGCCTTCTCGTGAGCCAGGGTATGGCACCTCGACGCCCACGGAGAGTTTAACAACATTTGTGCAATCCACCAATCCTTGCCTCCACAGTGCTGGATTATAAGCGTACCACCACAAAGAATGGGCGTGCACATAGCATATGCATAAAATTGGCCCAGCTTGAAGGTAAGGCAAAACAGCACGGTGATTAAAAGGGCATATGAGGACATGTGGTTGTGCATGGATTTTGCAACAGATGTGGGGCTAAACTTAGTAAACTGGAACACCACAGGTATGGCATCATTAGTGGTCACAAGGACAAACCTGTGGCAAAGGAAACCGAGAACCGACGGTCGCACAGACCAGAATGATGCCTCTGATGAAGTTTCCTTACAAGGGCAGAATGCTCTTTGGGAAAGCAGAAAAGGTGGCCATCAAGGAACACGAAATGGAACCCGAGGAAACATGGCAGAACTATAGGACCTGTCCTTTTTGCGTCTTTCATAAGTACATGGGCTAAAGCCCAAACTTGAACCAGACCCTCTTGCGTTGGAACCAACAGCCTTGGAAGCTGGCAAGTCTGAAAGGGGACAGGGTAGATGACAGAGTTGCTATTCCCTGTAGGTCAGGAGATGTCCTCCCAGGCCTCAACTCTCAAATTAGATGAAAAGAGAGAGGGGCAAAGATTGTGCAAGGCTTCACTTCCAGCTCAATTAGCAGGTCATCTGACAGTTCGTCCAAGAGTGGAAGAACAACTTGAGACAAATGGCAACACCCCAGATTAAAAAAGGCTCTAAATACAAGCCATATGGCGATAGGGGAAATAGAAGATGTCCCAGGGGGTCAGAGTGGCTCAGGGTTCTACTCTAAATTCTTTATGGTGATCCAACGCTTCGGGAGGCTTCAGATCGGCGATTTGAGCAGGTTGAATGCGTACATGCCGAAAAGACACTTCAAGACGGAGTCCTTGGCCTCTAGAATCAGGGCCATAAAGGAAAGTGCTTGGCTGGAATTTGTTAATTTTAAAGGAACGCCTATATAAATGTACCAATAAGAACGATCACAAATACCTCAAATTATGAGTATTCGGGGGATACTGGTAGTTCTAGGTGTTCCCTTCTGGGCCGTCGGCATCACCCAGAGGTTTCACCAAGACTTTGGTCTTAGTGGTGGTACATCCCAGAAAGGGAGTCACCACATCTACCCTTTCTTAGACCGAGTTCAAACAAGAGGCAGCTTGGAAAGAGACTTGGTGAGGTCAGTGAAGGTATGTGGTGAGAGCACTGCAGACTACAGGTTCATACTGAATGGGCCAACATGTACTTTGGAGCCAGCCCAGCAGCTGACCTACCTTGGGGCCAGTTCGATAGTACAATTTCTGTAAGGAAAGGGAAGATAAAATGGCTTGGGGCTGTCGGCTGGGGGTCTTGGCACAGGGCAGAAGCCCGGCAAGGCTGTCTCTGATGCACTAGGCCATAGCTACTGCCGTGGAAATAGTCCCATGGGCCAGATTTTGCATGTGGGCTTTCAAGTGGAACCTGCTGCAGAAACCCAGTGAAAAGCAAAAACACATGGCAGTTTGCTCCATGGTCCTGGGCCGCACAAGTCAATATATCATGGCGATTGGAGTTCCCACAGGTGACCTGAGCAAATCCTCTGGGGTTTTTTCAAGGGACAAGTGACTGTTGGGCTGGAGATGCCAACCTGCTGGGCATGCTATCAATCAGATAGTGGCTATGCAGGGTCAGTGTTCGGCTTTTCAGGAGAGCGTAAACTTCCTGGAGCTCTGGGTGACCAGGTTGGCTCTCGCTCAAATGAAGGTTGTTGTCTTGGGAAGGGACGGCTTCGTCTGGTGTGACAACTGGTGAACACAAGAGTCCTCCAGGTTTGATAAATCTAATGAGGGAGTAACTCTTCCTCATGCCTTCAGCAGAGAACCAAGATCAGCTGCTGGTGAAGCACTTGGTGGAATTGGACAACACAATGACTGGTTAAGCAGGGAGCAATTTGATACAGAAGAGTCGTCCTGCATCATGACGTATTCTATCAGTTAAAGCTCAGGTTCGGTCTTCAAATGGTTGATTGGTTTGCCTCGAGTAGGAAGCACAAATTTGACTCGTTCATTTGCAGCTTCAGGTAGCAGGATGCAATGGCAACACTTTCCTGCCAGTCAAGGGGTCACTGGGATAAACATTTCATCTGTTCCCACTCATTCCCAAAGTCCTTGAGGAGGTGAGCAGGGAAGGGGCCTGCATAATCTGATAATAGCCCCATTTGGTGGCTGAAGGGGTCGTGGTGGGTCTGGCAGAGGTAGAGGCATGGCAGCTGCCAGAGGAGATACCTACACAGCCAGAGGGGGGTGTGGCATAAATGACTACAAGCTCTGAACTTGATTGACTAGATGTTGAGAGCACCCAGTTCAGAAGAGATCTTGATGAAGTACAGTAATTACTCCTAAAGTCTAGGTTACCCACCTGGAGATTTTACAACTATCCCTGAAACAGGTTCCATACATTATGTGCAAGAAACTAGATCCAGTCTCGTGCAGGGTGGCACTTTGATTCGCTTGATTCCTGATAAAGAGGCATTGCGCAGAGGATTTTTTATAGTGGGTATAACAGTCAGGTCCTTAGCGAATTAAGCATTCAATGATGAGGTCAAGGGGCTGAGGGTCAGTTCGACCAAAAACATTGCAAGGCTCATCAGGATTGGGGGTGGCACCCTGGAACATGCATCTGGTGCTGAACACTTTGTGGATCAGCTTTTGAGCCCCAGGCAACGTGCTCAGAGTGGATTGACACTTAAGATGGTGTTTCTGGTGGCAATCACGTCAACTAGGGGAGCAAGCGCGTTGTGGGCTCCAGTGCAGTGGACAACCTAGACTAGTTCGTGGGCTACAAACGGCCCTCTCCTTCACCTCAGTGGGCGGTACACTTTAATTCGTGCTTGTGCACTTAAATACACTTAAAACAGGTCACCACGAGGGGCCAAGAGCCGCGTGCGGCTCGCGGGCCCGCAGGTTACCCCACCACTTCTCCAGTGGCAGTGCTGCCATTTACAGTCATCTCTAAGGAAAAGGTGCTGCTGAGGACATCAATGAGATGCATGCCTAAAGGTCACCAGACTTTCATATCAACCAGGAGATTATACTCCCAATCTTTCTGTCTGGCCCCTTTTTGCTCTCAGGTAGGAGGGCAAGTTCCATAGACTGTACCCTGTTAGGGCTTTCGCTTTTTACCCGAAGCATTCCAAGGAGTGGGAGGTCTTCAGAGCAACTATTTGTGTTGTATCGACAGAAGGGGGGGGGGGGAACCTGCATCCAAGCAGAGAGTGGCTGCTTCTGTTAAAAAATGAATCCTGATAGCCCATAGGTCAAAGGGTGCTGGGTCATACGAGGAGATGCCATCCCAATTCAACCCAGGTAACGGTGGTTTCGTGGGCCAGTAGGGCTGGAGTACCTCTAATATGCATGTGCAATGCATCTGTGTGGAGTATCATACATTTCACACCATTAAACTCGATACTCGTGTCACAAGAGGAGTGGGTTGAAAAGGGTCGCCATTTAGAAAAAAATGAGAAAAAAATTCCCACAACCTGGTAGGCTCTTAAGGGTTCACGTGATTAAGTCGAATCATGTCTGCAATAGCCATATGAATAAAATTGGCTTTAGTGCCCGAGTTACGCCCCATTTTCAGGAGGCGGTCGTCAACACGCTTCACTCCAACACACAAGTTGTTCTTCACTATTGCTTTCAAACATCAAAAAAGCCTGCAAATCAGCCGTTAACATTAATAGTTAACATTGAGGAACTGGCACTAGGATGGAATTGCCATGCGATATAGTCGGGAGTGGGTCTGTGACCATCTATGAGAAATGGGCTTAACACAGGTATAAAAAACCCTGTTTTAAATGGCAGTTACATTTTATGTAAAAAGTTCCCTCATGTGCAGGGGTGTATGAAATGTTAACAATCATATGAATTCACGTCGCGATTCAATCGATTCTTTTTTTATCACTGATCAATGTAGCACTGTTAGTGGATGCAGCGTTTGCATAACCTAGCAGTACTACATTATTAAGTGTAGAACCTTGTCAACATTTGGAACATTGCTTGGTTTAAGAAGCCAACGTTCAAGCATACGATCACACAAGGGCACAGAGTAAAATCAACTTCCATTATACAAGCATTAAATTGGTGTGCAAAATAATAGAGAACTTTTTCATTGTTCAGAAATGTTGTATTTAATGAGGGCATGCAAACCCTGCAGCCACAACTAGGGGTGCATTTATCACAAAGATGAAGAGAATGGTAAATGCTTGCTCTGAAGTTGCAGATGTTCTTTTGTGACAAGCACCAGTGAGAGTGTCTCACCTTCTCTGTGCAGTGGGGTTTCCCACAGGTGCACTGTAGGTTTGCCTTGGACCGCTTGCTCGGTCCATATTCCCGCACACGAGCACACGTGTACCCATCTTCCAGAGCCCAGGCCATCAACTCATCCCGCATCTGCAACACCACCAAAGAGAAAATAACCAAGCTTGATAATGTTCGTACAATTTTAAACAGAACGAGTATTCAAAGCAGTGCATGCACAATTGTGTGCAATACTGGAAATATATGCTCCATAGATTGCAAAAGAAAAACACCAGATTGTTTTCATTGGTGGATAGTGTTACTTGAGTGATAAGTTAATTTAACAAAAAGATTTCTGTAAGCTTTTCTTCACACACACAGCAAACTTATACCTGTGCCTTGATCTCATTGGATGTAGGAGGCAGCTCAGTTTTAGAAGACTGAGCCTCTGTAGCAGGAATATCATTCGAACTTGCACTATCCGCATTCCCCTGGGTAGATTTGTCCATATCTGACCAAAGTGCAATCCGCTTCTTGTGGATTTCCGAATCTTCTGCAGAAAACCCATGCATGTTAGATGATAATATATAAAATACGTCTACATGAAAGGAAAATCTTAGAAAATAAATAACGTTATCCTACATTCACTGACAACTTGCAACAAAAAATCCACAACCCTGCATCGCATGCATTTATACTGCAATGTTACTTTACATTTTCATAAAATATTAGCACAAACGATGCGCTGTCCTAAAAACCCATACGTGCATGCATTGTATAAGAGGAGAAAGGGCAGTACCGAGTCCTTCCAATTTCCTTTTGTGCCCTTTTCGGCCTGTAAGCTTCCAGAAGGCGTAGCAATCTGACGCGACGTCATCGTAGAAAACGTGGGTGCCACTCAGCCTCGTCGGCAGCCTCTTCCTGCGCTTGTGTCGGCCAAACGACTCGTCCTCGGGTTCGGTGCTATCTGCAATGCCACTCTGCTTGCTCATTGTTAAGCCTGCCTGGCGTCGCGCCTGGGGAGGGCAACTGCACTCCAGCATGCACTCGGGTCTGCCGCAGTGTGCCGGCACGGCGCGGCCCTCACCCAGGCTATCGCACACGCAGCCCAGCCGGCAGAATTCTTTCTGGCAACGACCGCTGGCCGCAGGTGTTGATGATGGGCTGCTGCTGTGTGACGTCGACGTTGTGGCTGCCGCAAAACGCACGGACAGCTTTTTCATGCCTGTCGCGGTCATCTGAGTAAAAAAAAAAAGCAGGACATTAAGAAGCAGCTCCATTAGGTAATGTGCAATTTCTTTGGCTTAGTTTTTCACATAAGACAAAAAACAGCACGATGTTCACACCTGTGGGGTAAGCAGGGTAGTGATGGAGCGCTCTGCCCGATCGGTGGTGATATACGTGCGGTGCTTCCCATCCAACAAGGCCAACTCCTCCAGAGCAAGCAGCATGGTGTTCACATTGCGGCTGTTGGCATTCTTCACAAGCGCTGCCCCACTGACAGGACACGACCGAGCTGGCTTCAGCGAAGGAGGCGTAAGCGGTGGCGACGAGGGTAGCGTCACCTTTTTCGGACTAGCGAGGGGAGCGGCAGTCGCCACCACTTCTGCCCGGCCACCATACTTGCCGCCCCTGCTGCCGTACCTGCCGCCCCTGCTGCAGCGCTTTCCGCGGGTCCCGCGCTTGAAAGACTTTTGTGTCGCTCTCAACGCCGCTGTCGAAATTTTGCCCCGGCCAGCCAGCGCGCCACGTTTTTGCGTCACACCTGACAGTGGCAATGGCGGCGGCGGCGGCGGAGACGTGGCGCAGGTCTGAGCAAATGCCTCTCTCTCCCCGGCGGACCGTGCTGGGCCCGCACGGCGGCGTAGCACGCTGTCTAGGGTGCGCACGTACGTGCTGCCCGTGCGTGGCGTCTGGAAGGTGACACCGGCTGCCTTGCTGGCGTACATGTTCGGCCTCTGTTCCAGCAGTTTCTCTTCCTCCTGCAGATACTCGTCCAGCTTGTCACTCAAAAAGACTGAACGGTTTTTGCCCAGCGTGTTCATGTCTGTGGGTGAAAGCAGTTGGCACGCAATTTGGCGATTAAAACGTATTCTTACATTCACAAAACATTCAAAGAATCATGCACATGATAATTGATTCGTTATTATTTAAGCAAATCATTTGAAAATTGCATGTTTTTACATTTACGATAACAGTGAAAAAAACTGTACAAATGAGATGTTAAAGATTAATCCCAAAGACATAGCAAAAATGAGAAAAAATATTTTTGTTGAAATCGCAAACCTGAATCGTAACATTTCAAAGAATTACTGGAAAAGTGTATTATTAAAAAGTATATTTCCTGAGTAAGCCAATTGAGATGTACAGCTCTTTTTAAAGGGTGACCAGTTACATGCCTATAGGGCACAACGCAGAACAGAGGTGAATATGAGTCACATGGGAACGCACCTGGGGCACTGCCACTGGATGACGCTGGGGCCTGTAGCCCAAACTTGTGCTGCCACCCTTTAATCTTCGTCACGTCATTCGTCTTTCCAGTTCGAGAGACAAACCTTGGATCAGCACCTGAACAATTAATGATAAGTAATAGCCCAACTGAAAACAAATTCCAACACGCTGATATGCAGAGTAAAGCTCATCTATAGTAATAGGTTTTTACCCTTTTAGCTGGCACAAAAACTGACACCTTTATACAAGGGATCATGTTTGCAATAACCACAACACAAGCAGTCAAAAATGCAAACAAAAAGAGACAACTCTGATAATATTCTTAGCTCTTTCGGTAAAGCTAAGAATATGAATTACTGCAGTCACGAAAGCTTTAAATCAAAACTCTGATAATAACAATATGCACTGTCCTTGAATTTGATTGGTCCACACCCGAGACAGCTTTTCTTAGAGCCTAGTCTCCACTGGTGTTGGACCAGATGACGCCAAAAGGCGTACAACTCAAAAACAGCGCACTATCAGAGTACTGAGAGCTCGGGGTAAGCCTTTACATTATGAGACCTCCTTTGCCAGTAACAAGATATAGTAAATAGGTTTTTACCCTTTTAGCTGGCACAAAAACTGACACCTTTATACATGGGATCATGTTTGCAATAACCACAACACAAGCAGTCTCCACTGGTGTTGGACCAGTGGAGACTAGGCTCCAAGAAAAGCTGTCTCGGGTGTGGACCAATCAAATTCAAGGACAGTGCATATCATTATCAGTTCTCTCTTTTTGTTTGCATTTTTGACTGCTTGTGTTGTGGTTATTGCAAACATGATCCCTTGTATAAAGGTGTCAGTTTTTGTGCCAGCTAAAAGGGTAAAAACCTATTACTATATCTTGTTACTGGCAAAGGAGGTCTCATAATGTAAAAGCTCTAGTCACACGATTCATAGCTTGGAATCGTGATTTGATTTTTGACAAGAGTGGAATTAGCAGAACCGTGGAAGGGGGAGCTGGGGATGTGTGGAATTCAGCGTGGTATTCAGGCAAAAAGGAAAGACTTGTGGGTCCTGGCCAGCTTCGTGGAAATGCTATTGAAATGTGTGTAAAACATGTTTCAATAGCGATCCTGCTTATTAACAGCCAGCTGTTACAGACACCAATGTCTAGAGTGTGTACATGACTCGATTCCACCCTGATTTTTCTGTGCCATTTAGGCAATTTGGGAGGGCCCGTGGGGTATGGATGGCCTTGTATCGCTTTAACATTGGAACCAACTTTAAAATAATGCGATACTTGCAAGAACTAGAGGTTGGATTTGTAGGAATCGAACAGGATTCTGCAGGAATTGCACAGCTCTCATGTATAATGTACATACAAATTAGCACACTCAGCTAAAAACCATTAGCACACTCAGCTAAAAACCAAGCCAATCACATGCCGAATTTTATTATTTTTCACTGGGTTCAGAGTTCAGCACTCTACTTTTGAGGTCTCGGATAAGCACCCTGCTTCGTTCTAATTTTGAAAAGCAATCCCAGCTCGGACAGCCAATGAACACGAACCTGACTCGTCATTCCCTTTGCTTTTCTGGAACTGGCTGAGCGCAGACTGAAGCCTATCTTGCAGCCTCTGAATTCTTTCTTGTGCTCTCCCGGTTGAGGCTGTGATAACAAAAGAGAGCAAAGTTTTTCAAAGCAAAGCAGCATGTCACTAGTCAATGCTTTATAAGTTGATAACAGTGGCGGCTATAGTCATCAAATGTTCAATATATATAAAAATAATTATTTAAGTGTGAATATTTTGCAAAATTAGGCATTATAAAATACTTTCAATAACCAGCTTTTGCTGTTATGATTACACGATGTACAGCCGTGTGGGTGACGATTTAAAAGCAACGTTTATGTTAAGCGTGGCATTTAACCAATGTATTTTTACCATGATCTGCACTGTTGTCGCTTAATGTTGGGGACAAACGAAGGGTTTCCAATTTTTCTTGCTCCATGTTCCGATGAGCCAACATAGCCTCCTGATTGAAATAGTAACCACATTTCAAACAAAAGCAGCTGTTGATCAGACCCATTTCACAAAACAGCACTATTTTTTAAAATTCTACTATAACATTCATAGGACGCAAATTATACTAACCAATTCCAAGCACTGTCAGTCTAATTCCCCATGCAACTTGCAAAACAATGATTTCATTCACGACATGGGAAGGCAGGCTTAACTTTCACAGTATTTTCAGGTGTAAGACTAAAAATAGTGATGTATTATCTAGGTCTTACATTTTAACTCCAATATTAATGCATACTGTACCAAAACTTGCCAATACAGTACCACGACTTTTGTTTTTCAAACATGAAAGTTTTGAAAAGAAAATCTTTCACTAAATTATAATTTTATACATTCTATTATATTTATTCTACAATAAAGCAAAATTACATACTGTCGATGAGCAGCACACATTACGGAATGCATCCCGCACGAGCTCTAAGGACCACTGGGCCAATCCTTAACGACATGTATAATTTTTTTTATATCATGCAAACTAACTTCACGCAGGGAAATTATTACGTTTATCACGCATTCTGTTTTGACATCATACGTAATCCATATTTTTACGCATTAAAATGTCCAGAAACGCAGCTTTTCTGAAAAACTGCGAGACGGTGGTCATCATTCCAAACAAACAGCACGCCAAGCATGACACCTTGTTGGAGAAGGAGAAGAAGGACACTCCTCCGACATCAACTCTGTCGGCTTGGTGTTCCATGCGAGGATCGTGGTGGGTGGCGGTAGCGGCGGCGTCGGCACGTTGAGTGGGGGCCTCCCAGGCCAGTCCACGCGGTGCCACCCTGCGGCCCCGGGGCTGGCTCGAGCCCGGCGTCGGGGAAGGTGTTCTCGAGCGAGAGCAAAGGGAGCCCGAGCGCGACGACACCGACGAGAAGGAGGGCGGCGGAAGTTGAAAAGCCGGCGCGTTGCCTTCCTTGGGCGGGGTCCACACCCACGAGGAGAACCCCGTGTGCCCGATCTTGAGCGCTGGCAGCACGCTGCCCTTCTCGCTCACGTACTCTCCCCTAGGGGCGTCCGGGTGTTCTGTTGTCTCCTTGGCATCATCCTTCGGCACGGACGTCAGATTCAGCAACCTCAAATCCAATTCCGACCGCGTCGGCTTCACGTCTTCGGGGGTTACATCCATGGCATCGCCAGAAAATGCCTCGTTATTCAAATGAGGAATTGTCGGAAGTGGTTGTATTGGCAAAGGGCTCTTTCCGGGTCTTTCCTCAACATCTGACACATCAGCTCCATTACCCTCTGACAAACACAGTTTGCTGGGTTTTACATCGTCCGTTGGCTCAGACCAGTGTGGCGGACTTTCGCTCACCAGCACGATCAACGGTCGGTCGCCACATGCGGATCGCGAGAGAGAAATCTGCGGAATGCTGTACGAGTACAAGACGGAGGCTGGCAGTTCACCAAGCTTGACTGTGGGCTTTGATATGTTACACTGCTTCAAGCGCACAACGGGAAACAGATTTTGGTTCAGAGGATGATGAGAAGTAGGGCACTTGGGATCCTTGCCCTGCTCCACCGATGTAGGCACAATCATGGCTCCTGCACGAGCAGATTCCACCTTACTAATGAGATTTGACTTGCATGTGCTGTTCCCAGCAGGCAATAAACAATCACTCAAAGAGATATTCTGGAGAACAACTTGGGACTCTCCTTTCCCTCCCAGACTGGAGGGAGGGTCAACATTTTCCACCAACTCCTGCCAGGTGTCATTAGGTTCGTCTTTGACTTTTCTGATGTCAAACAAAGTGTTTTGATCCTTACATCCATTGGAATTGTCGTCTCGCTTCGACTTATTCCTGCAAAAGTTGATAAAAAACAAGTCATGTAACAAATACATTTATTCATTCAAAATAACTAATTAAATTTGGATTTAAAGCTTTCGTGACTGCAGGGATTCATATTCTTGGTTATGTCGGTAAGTCACGTAGAAGGGAAATAATAAAAATAAAACAACAAAATTCTCACGTTTCGATTGCAACACGAGCAATCATCATCAGGTGTGAAAACCACAGCAAGAAAATTTGAAAAAGTGGTGGTTAAATGCCAACATAAAGAAAAGATTGCGATGAACAAGAAAAAGAAAGCAACACACCTTTTTACACCATCTCCATTCGTTGACTTATCAGACAGCACATCTTCTTCCAACATCCCAACAGATCCATCTCCTCGGCTGGCATCATATGAACGGTCATTAGTCCCAACCATGCAAGCGTGATCCCTCTTCCCCGACGAGCCCAGCGAGACTCTCTCCCTCGCGCCCTGCTGGGAGTTGAGCGCCCTGCCACTGCCATCGCCGCCTCCCTCCTCATCCTGGTTCAACGCGTCTGACTTTGGCTCGGCGCTCCAAGCAAGGGGACTGTGGCTTATCTTGAGGTGGGTGATGGCCGTGTTTTGGTAGGCGGTGACGGCAAAGAACTCTGTCTGCGGGAAGATGAAGGTGTGCACGTTGTCCGCGTCCAGTCGCAGGTGGCGTGGCACCTTGTTGGCCCGGATGATGTGGAAGCGCGTCACGTACTTAAACATGGGGATGAGGGAGATCACCCCGTCCTGACCCAAAGCGGTGTTCGTCAGCTTCACCTACAGCCATCAGAAACAACAAGCATAGCAGTGTCGGCGTCAACGGCTGTTGTGAAAGCGCTGAAAGTAAAGTGAAGCCTTGCCATGATTATAAAATCGGAAGTTTGACCAACATAAATAATGCCAATGGCACTAAAAAAACCACATCGGATGTTGTCGGTCATAATACGGAGTCAAGTTTAACCGTGCTACATCATAAACGTAATCCAACAACTGTGCGTTTACGAATTTTACACGAAAATATACATTTACGTACCCCTAAAGTAGGTATGCCTAATAATAAATAAATCTTAACTTTTTATTAAAGCTGTTGCACATGGAATAGAATAAGAGCTGGAAATTATATTAAAAAAATACTTGGGACACTTTCTCCTCACGCTGTATTGATTCTGGGGGTTGTTTGGTCAAAGTTGACCATGCTCATCAGTGTAGGTTTGTGAAGTATGGGTCCAGGACCTGTTCAGATATCATTCACCACCGATATTTGCCCATGGGAGGGAATCATAACCGAGATCACCAAATTCCAAGAGCAGTGAGATAATCACTGCACAACCGCCGCTCGATCCGAATTCGTGGTGCTTAAAATAATACTGGCGCTTGCGTAAGGTTGCAACCACTTTTACCTCTGAAAACGAGATGCTCTCGTACATCCAAAAGGAGCCAGGCGCGACACCCTCCTGGTGCACGTAGACGCTGTCAGGAATCTGTGGCTTTCCCCGTTCTATTGGCATCCAGCAGCCCTCACCCCAGCGGTAGCGGTGTCCGTCCACCGGCACGACGTCAATTGCCATCAGGTAGCAGCTTTGAGGATCCAAGCCACGGACCTGGTAATAACCCAGACATTCAGAATAGATCAGTGTTCATTAAAGCGGGCTTGTCTGGTGGTGGTCTGGTAGCGTGTGGTGCTACTATAAGGCCACTTGTCGAAGCAGAGTCAGTACCAAGTCAGCCAATTGTGAATAAACCCGGTTCTCACATCTAATGATTTAACAGTAACTGATTAAACTTTCGGGCATGTTAAAGCAGGCATTACCAAGCCCTAACAATAAACTGTTGTCCAGCAGCAACACGAAGTAGAGGGGAGTTTTTGTTATCTTATACAATTATTTGTTACCCAATTAGTTGAACCAGCAATTGGTAATCAATTCCTTAAATAATTGGGATAGTCCAGCACAATATAAAAGCAAGTTTTTTCATTTTCAAGTCATTACAAACAATAACAAGGTTTCTTCATTAATCACTACACAACTTTTGCATCAAAAGTTTAAAAGAGTTTGAGCCACACAAACTAGGGCAAACCAAGACAGAAGGAGATGCGCGCAATGCGACTATTTGCCACGGGAGCCAACCCACCTTATAGCGGCAGTACGGGAACATGCGGCGCCCGGTCTTGGTGAGGATCATTTCAGTTCCCCACGAGTGGAAACGCTCCCACACCTCTCGGTTGTCGAGCGTCACTTGGAAGCCACACGAGCGGATCGTGTAGGCCATGCCTCGTGCCTCCTTGCGCTTCCAGGGGCTCAAAGCTGGACTAATGGCATCCTGCTGTATTTCCTGCGCTGCCCCCACCACCCCCGCCATGCCCTGCAGCAGGCAGGTGGGAGGGGGGATCATCGAGCTCGTAGGAGACACGACCCTGCTGCTGCTCTCGCTACTGCTATTGCCACCACACTCAAGTAAATCCATTATTGTGATGCTTGTGGGGGTTTGAGGACTGAAATGGCTTCCAGAAGACCAGAAGTCATCTCATGTCGCAACCATGGTCTTCACCTACGCTGTCAGAGGGAATTGAAAGGATAATATGACAAATAATTGTTATGATAGACGTACATTTTAAAGTTATGCAACTTGAATGAAAAAAAAAAACACGTTAACTTTTATGACTGCTGGCAAAATACTAAAATATATTGAAATAGCGAAATTAATTCTAACAGATATGGACAAGACAATACCAAGGCATTAAGTCATAGCATCAGTGAACACTTAATAACAATAAAAATCATACATCGGCATAGTTTCTGTAATATTGTTCCAACATGTCTGTGCTCAGAAGTATACAAAAATGAACAAATTACCTGTTACTACATGGATCAGAAACATGGACATTAACAAAGGAGATTCATATGTGCAAAGAGTAAAATGTGTTAAAAAGGTGCACACTTGGAGCTGCAGTTGAGAGAGCAAGAGCAACACGTGGATTTGAGAACGTACGCCTACCCCAGTGTCTCCCAGATTCCCTGGATCATTGAGGTGCGGTGGACCAGTGGGACAGACCTGGCCCCGTGAGCACTGGTCCTTAAATGGGTTGATGCACAAAGGGGAAATCGATTAATTATAAATAATACTATTACGTCAGGCATAACATACCGTCACGTGTTTTTATGTCAACGTGTGTTTAAATAATTCATATATTTCACACGGATATAGTTGAGGCCTAGATACATGCGATGTCATCATCAATGACAAGTAACGTTATGCAATGTCTAAGAGGCCCATGTAATTATCGATGAGCACGAACGTACTAAGGAATGTTATACCGCTCCTTTATATACGTGCGATCATGATTACCAGTTTGTGTGATATGGTACCCCCCATAAAAACGAATATTAATGGGGTCGTGCTGTATTTGGAAAACGGGAAAAAAGTTTAAGAAACTATGAATGTGTTTTGTTTATTTTAATTTAGGGGAAGGAAAAAGATCGACGGTTCAGCTGGCTGGCCTTTAGGCAAGATATTTACAGTCAGTATTGATAGGTGATGATGAGTGGTTGATGTCAGACGAATTGTCATGCATTCGGTTAGCAGCCCTTTAACATTCTTGAATGCATGCCAGGAGTTAATATGCAGATTGTGTAACCGATATGCACACACTAACGCCGCACAACTCCGAAAATAAATGGTGATAGAAAACATTGGTCATGAAACCCCACAAACCTAGACCAATAAATGAACGTGAATGGAAAGATAGACATTTGCCTGTTTATTAAACAACGAATAAAGGTACCAAATTTCAAAACTCTATATCGATAGAAATGCAACTGAAACATTTAGTACTTTCAACGACTAATAAAGTACAACACAATGTCAGCCAACTGTTTTGTTAGAGACATTCGGTGTGAGTAAAAACACACACGTTAATGTGGGTGGCTGGGGTTTCACAACTGTCTTTTTATTTATCCGTGCAACTCAGCTATTCAAACTATTTTTTTTTTATTTTACCAGGGTCAGGCCCACCAAACTATATAGCTATTTTATAGAGGCGACCTGGCCACAAATGATAGCCCTAACCAAGTGGCGGATTATTACATGTAAATGTACAGCAGCCAAATACTAAAATAGCTAACTCGACCGAAGGGTCAGCTAGCCTCATACTTTCAATAAAAGGTCAATATATCCGCGCTAGATAATTTGGCCCTGACATTGCGCCCTTATGAATAACACGGGTGCTGTAGGTTGCTGCCAGGGCAGTCGAGCAAAACCCACTCCCGTATGATCCCTACCTCACGAAACACATAGAAATCGGCGTGTTTAAGTCTGATTTAAAAAAAATAACCCTCACGATGTGGGGCAGGGCCCTCATCCACCAGTGGATTAATAAAATGGTGCGGGTGCATTAAAGCCCTACCAAGCCGTAAACATCTCTCACCAAAAAAAAACCCCATCAAACATTGCTTGCTGGGGCTCACACGCCAGCAACTCGAGGACTATGAACCGCCACAACAACAACAAATCCTACCAACAACACGCCTCGGGAAAATAAGCGTCAACCAAAAAATGCACGCACGCACCCGCGCCTCGCCGAGTGCGTCACAACAACGGCGAGCAACACACGGGACCCGCGATTCGTCCATGTTGGTGACGTGCGGAGTGGGGTGGGAGAGACACACACACATCATCGTCGTCGGCCTATGCGCGGCCCAACAACGAGCCGAGAGCAAAGCTGCTGCTTGCTTGCTGCTGCTGCTCACCCGACATTTTCTGCACACAATTGGCCGCGTGGGGTTTAGTTGCATCTCGATAGGGGGTGTTGTGGGGATGCGTCGTGACGCGTGAGAATGTTGTTTGCTTGCAAGCGCCGGGGGCGGGCGGGGTGGTGGTGGTGGTAAGGCAGCCCATCGTGTGTCATTGCCTGCCGACGACCATTTGTGGGCTGCCATCAACAACAACAAGACAAGTCCCACATGTTTCTTCCTCAATGATTCCCCCGTGGTCGACGTCAACACGGAGGCTATCACTGGAACACCACAGCCTGTACCACGAACGATCATATATGGTTTTTTTTGGGCTAGGCCACGTATTCGTTTTATGCTAAATTAGGTATAAAAACCACGACTTGGCCGAAACAAAAAAAACTGGCATAAAAAATTCCGCGTGGCCTTACCAGATAAACAAATATAGATTATTGTTGTTCTTAGCTACGAAAACCAACGTTTTAAATGTACATTCCACTGCCGAATGAAGACGTCGCCACGTATGTAAGAAGGGGGTCCCCCCTGTGGGTTTTCGGTTATCAGACTTCAACCCACGCCAGTCAGTTCGGGTTCTTTAAGGCGGGGGATCTTAGAAGTACCCCACAACAAAAGTTATCTGCTGCCCATCGCGTAAGCCCGCAGCCCGATTAAAATCTGTTTGTGCATGGTGGTAGCTCACCAGAGCAGCACGAGTTCTGGCTATAAATCACGATACGCTATCAAATTGGCACTACTGTTGTAACAGTCTCAAAGTACTCTATCGTAACAACGCGATGGACACAAAGGGCTTGCGAAAAAAAAGTAGTACCCTTTTGGGAATTAAACAAACGCGATCACGCCCTCCGTAAAGAAAAGATAAAGATGTTACGCGTCACCGCTAAATTATTATGCCGGGCTAAGGTTCCACAGCGGAGAGACACACATGAGCACGAGGTTCAACTAAGGCAAAGCTGGTAACGTGGCCAATGTTTGTCCATTTAAGAATAAACACAAACACCGGGAACGCACCGTGACTCCCCGTAGCTCTACCTGGGGACGTGCAGTCTACGAAGCGCAGTATATTAAGTCAGTATACGAAATGCCGAAATATTATTTTCGCCGCTCACAACCACCTCCAAATCGTGTCAACAACAAACAAAAAAACCCAACTCGCACGTACCCGTGTATGAAACAAAAGGAAAACATCGAGCGATGGTGTGTGTACACGAAGCTAACGTGAGCGAAGTAGTGGTTGTTAAGCGACCACTAACTATCGCATACGATTGTGTGGACACGCGAGGGGGGATTGCTTGGACGTTCCGTGAGTTAACAAAAGCGTGCAAGTACTGCTGCACGTTGCTTTGGGTTGTGACAACAGCAACAACAAAACCCCAGCAAACACACGGCGCGGGTGACGGGACTCGCTGGGTTCAAGCATGCGCCTGTTGTTTTATACTATTAAAAACGACACGACGATCAAATGCTTATGGAGCCGACCTGTAAGACACCCGCACACTAACTGTAGCCATCTCTCTCCCCCCTCTCCCTATAAACACGTACGTATGTCCGAACTTCTTTCGCACCGCACGTAGCCGACCGTGTTGCTCATCGGGAGGTGCGGGAAATAATTTAAAAATATATATATTAACGCCGGCCAGTTGCTGGGTTGCTCGACGTAAGGGGGGCGGGGGACGGGGACCCCCCCCCCCTCCAAGGAGCACGAGACGAGAGCGGGCGGTAAGGGCCCCCCCTTCCGATGGGTCACGGGACGCAGCCGTGAAGACTACGAAACGAGTTGCGCCAATCGGATTTGTTCTCGTAGCCCTGATGGGCGTATTCGTTGAAGCGTCGCTTCACTCACGTGAGGCGGATTTTCAGGGTATGAACCTTAATAGTGTGTGGGGGGGGGGTATCTTTATCACGGTGGTTATTAACAAATCGCCTGCGATGAAATAACACACAAAAAAGAGGCTCACTCAAGGCCGTTAAAAATCTCGACGAGCATAAAAGCGGAAAATAATTAAAAAAAAGAAAACCCATCGGGTAAACACGCGGAGCAGCTGCCATTGCACGCGTTCCAGGCCAACGGAGCCATCGTGAGGGAGCACGTGACAGGCTCGCCTTACAATAACCACTTTAAACAATCTGGTGACGATTACAAATTGCCACGTTGGCAGGTACATCGCTTCTACGGAGCTTTACGACGGAGCCAGAAGCTCGGTCGAAACATTTTTTTCACTGAACAGCTTCAAATTAACAAAGTGTGGCGAAAGAAAAATGGCTACACGAACATTTAAATCACAAGCGCACAAGTGCCCGTGTCGTCTTGTTTGAAAAAAAAAAACCTGCGGAGCGAAGAGCGTTGTCGTAGCAACATCAGCAGCAGCAGTTGAGGTAGTAATCGTAATGATAAACAGTGGTTGCTGCCGATAGACATTGGTCCCAGTTGTCGTGCCCGAGCTGGTCCATAACCCACAACCCCCGCCAGGGGGGACACAGAGACTCCCCCCCCACCCCACCACCGCTTCCTCCCAACACGCGGCTCAGCGCCGCCGCATCGAGATCAACAACAAAAAAAAGCCGGGCCAAACGACAGAGAAGCTCGACGCTTCGAAGGCGGCTGCGACCTGTTATTAATTCGTACGATTCGTCGAGCGCCGCGGTTGATCAAACGCGCGGCGGCGCGCTCGCCGACGAGACAATGCGGCTTGCGCACGCTGTGAAACACGCCGAGCGCGCTTCCGGTGCCCGGTGCGTATCGGGAAGCCCCCCCCCCACCACCACCACCCCCCCCCCACCACCACCCCCCCCCACCACCCCCCCCCACCACCCCCCCCACCACCCCCCCCCACCACCCCCCCCCCCACCCCCCCAACCACCCCCCCACCACACGCGACACCCCGAGCGCGTCACGGCCCCACCCACATCACTCAAAACCCCAACTGGGATAAGCAACGGCGCGGTCTCACCGTTGGCGAGCGAGGCAGCCACGTGACCGAAAGAGCTCGCTCCCTATTGGTGGAGCGGCCGCGCATTTGCCGAAACGCTCTAGCGAATGCAGAGTGAGAACGAACGCCTTCGCTCGCCGCATTTACACACGACGTCGCTTATTGTTACGTTCGAGTTTATGGCAACCCCCGAGGGTTTTTTTTATTTTCTGTGATTAAAAAAAAACTTAAATAATTATCGAGGGGCGCAATCGTAAAAGATTTGCGCCTCCGCCTCACGAACCTTTTTCCCGCTCTTCGACGACCGTCGACGGCGCGAAGAAGCACGCAGGCGCTCAGAGCCACCGCGCATGCGCGGGCCACGCCGCACCCCCACGTGACCCGCCGTTAAATAGAGAAAAAAAAACTGACGATCGACAATACATAGATATTTTTTTAAACGATAATTTAACGCGCGTCAAAATAACCTCATGAATAAGCGACGTGACTTAACACCTCAGAAAAATCCTAACAAACTAAAATTAAAAGTTTTTAATCTGCAACTTAACGGCGTGCGCGTCACATACCTCGCGCAGTGACGTCACTTCCGTCGTCACGTACACCCCCCCCCCCACCATCGCGAGTTCCCCCCCGCCCCACGTGGTTCCAGCAGCACGTGGCTGCCGCGTGATCACGCGCGACCACGTGGCGCGCACTTGAACTTGAGATGGCTGCGCACGGAAAAAACTAATGTGGCCATGCAACCTAAACTATAGGCCCGTGTAATAAACCAATCGATTGCGCGCCCCTTCATCGACGGAGGAATACCAAAGCCACACGAACTCGATCTCTCTCAAGGCATCTCGTAGCTGGCAGACCACCTCGACATTCGCAATTAACAATAGATAACGCAACGAGAAACGGGAGACCGCTCCTTCCTCGTGTCTCTTAAGAAACTGACGCGCTGCTAAATACACAAAAAAAACATTCTTAATGCGGTCATGCGTTTCATGAGAAAACCCCCGTCACTTTAGACACCGAGACGTGACGGTTACAGTCATACACATGCGGCCATTTTAAAGTGATTTAGTATTATTATGAAGACATCTTATCGCACAGATCTAGTTTTGTCAAGGGATTGTTTTTAATTGGGACTTTTTCTCCGACAGAAGCTACAGTACATTGTAAGCAATAACCCACAAATCGCTAAAAATAGCAAATTATTGTCCCTTATACTGTTCAGGTTGACCAACGCTCGATTTTACAAAGCAGATACAGTACTTTAATTATACTCTTGTGTTTTTTCTGTCTTCCTCAGCACCTATGCGCAAGTTTTATACACGTTATAATACCTTTGAATAATACAAGTCACAATGCTCACGTATTTACCAGTACATGTACAAGCTTACCGCCAAATGAAGGCGTCTCACCACCTCTCGGCACTGTGCGGACAACACTGAAAAAGGAACGGCAATTTGTGAATGAAAACAAAAAAAGCCGTGTGAAAATGGGCCCTTTTGCGCAGAAACAAATTATAAGAGTAGGTTTATAGTCACTGGGAGAGCAAGTGATCGTGGCTTGTTGTCTGCTGTGGGAACAAAGACGATCAATTGATTGCCTTGGCTGGCAATAAGCTCCACCCACACTTCTTCCCTCCCCCATTGCAACGTCAGACCTTTTCAGTTGGGCCTGCTTGACTTTTTTAAAAACCGACATGGAGCACGTGGTTTTCGTTGGACGCAGACCAGTAGTAATAGATGCATGCTCATCTCATGCTTTTACCCTAAAATGGTGGGCCCTAAACATAGGGGAGCCGCGGTGGCGAGATGTTCACTACCTCGCTTGGTATACAGGATCCCGACCCTGATGCCTGTATATTTGGAGTTTGCGTGTTTCGCTCCCCGTCATCACGTGGATTTTTCTCCGGGTCCTTCGGGTTTCCCCTCCACATTTAGAAACATGGGTTTACAGTGTTTGGCTGTTATAAAGTTCGACGTGATATGCCACTTCGTTGAGCTATCATTTGTGACCAGGTCGCTTTTGAAAAAGAGCTATATATATCAGTGGGCCTTACCTGGTAAAATAAAAAGTTTAGTTTAATTTTTAGTATGTAGCCAGAATCTACTACCTGGTAATAGAGTTAGGAAGGGGGGCCCGACCCACCATGCATGCCCTTGGACTGGATATGGTGAAGACACTGCACAAAATACCCTCGGACTTGTTGAAGAACATTGGGTCCCCCAAGAATACCCTGGAACTTGTTGGTGCTGCCTTGGCTGCTCTGGCTGTCTTTAAAGCTCGATGTTGGTACTGGGCCTTGCTTGCTTTCCCCCATGTGATGGTGGTGCTCTTTCTCCTATGTATGTATCCCTGTCCAGACTACCCCCCCCACTCACCCCATGTAAGCTTTCTCAGGCTTCCGTCACAACCTATTTGTCTTCGTTCTCTCTTGATCTCTCCACATCCTGGATACTCTAAATAGCTTCCACCTCTATGCAGCTCTCCAGCAGAGCCACCACAGTAACAATTAGGTGGTGTGGTGATGGCAGAGCCATCATTCCAGGCATCACAGTGGAGGTTACTGATAAACTGCTCTCAGATGATGCATTCAACGAGCTCCTCTTTGGAGCGGTGCTGTGGTTGAAGGTAGCATCCAACCAGAGTGTGCCTTTTTGGCCCAAGATGCATGGGTGGAATTGAGATGTATACTTTTAACTCCAGAATCACAGCCCAAGCAATTGAGGACTGGATAGCTGACTTCAAATGGTTACTTCCCAAATCTCGCCCAGGACTTTATAGGTAATCTATGTTTCACCCTTGAGAAGGTGCCAGATGCTTTTCCAACTGGTCTTTTGGTGAGGCATATAAACAAGTGGTACATTCAAAGGTCAGAAGGAAAGCTCCCCGCCGACAAAGTTGCTGTTTCGCGGAGGGGATGGCATCTTCAGCCCCTGCTCCTGCTGCCTCTCTTGAATCGTGGCTCCTCTTTGTATGCAGCATTCTTTTATGCCACCGCTGCCACCAGACGAAGGGGAGTGAACAGAGGAGTCAAACACGTGGGTGGTGTCTGAGTGTTTATTCCTCAGACTACGCATAGGGAATTGAGCACTGCACTCGGCAAAAGACCCCGAATAATGGCTGCCCTTGCCGGTCCCCGACTCTCGACTTTTCCATCAGCCGTTGAAGCTTCAATTTCCGTTGGTGTTCGCCTTTTTGAAAGTCGTGGCCAATCAGCTGGTCATTTGCCAAGGCAGCTCTTGAATCCCTTTGGCTGCTCTGCTCAACCAATCAGGGCTCAGGCCGGCACTCTATTTCAGCCAATCGAAGGCTCTCCGTGCCCTATTCAAACCGGCAAATAGGTTAGCAGTCGCGAGCAATGCCGACAGTGAATGAATGAATTGATATGATCATCTCTAGGTGTCCTTTACAGTACGAGGGTTTCCCAAATTCCAGTCCTCGCGGCCAACCACCACGCTACATCTTTCCACGTTTACCAATCTATTTCCCATTCAAATACAAATGGACTCGTTCCACGCTGCACGCGCCCGATGGGCGTTAAAACACAGGCCACCTGACGCGCTAAGCAATTAATGCTGTCCGCGTCACGTGGAAAACGTGTAAACACACGTAACTGCCATTTGTCACCACAGCGCTCGTGCCAGGCTATGTCATGTTAAGGCCACGTTAAGTTTAGAACGCCCGCTGGCAGGAGGTCATGGGGCAGACCCAGGTGCCATGGGTCGCCTGACTGAAATGACTGGGTGATGCACCACCTGTGCCCCCTACTGTGCCAACTTGCTGTTTTTTAACCACCCGGCGCTCCACTCGTTAATGTGAGCGTCGCTCCTCTGTCCTCCATTGTTGCTGGAATGACGACTGCCCCCAACTGCCCAGCAGCGTCCACAGAGGCCGATCTTGACGCCGCTGGTAACCAGTCATCGGCAAGTCCACTCAGCTCCACATTTTCTTGTACCACATCACTTCATCTCTTCTCTAGCCTGTGCCGTGCCAGTTTAGCCCCCTCTATCCGGCCGAACAAAGCTGTTTCGGCATACGATGGCTGGGCATGCGGGCTACATGACCCAGCCATACATACGTGCACTGTTTAACAATCGGGCGTGTGCAGTGTGGAACTAATTAATTTGAATGGCAGGACTGGAGTTTGCGAAATGGTGTGATAACACAGTTAGCCGGACCAACTCCCAAATAGTCATACACCAATTTAGGCCCTCTCGTTTTACGTACTTTCGCTATACCGTGCCCAACTTGATACCTAATCCTATTTATGGACTGTGGTACCTCGCCATAAGGTACTTGATTTTTATGAACTTTACCACTTAGACCCAACATTGTTCAAGTTACATGGCGACATTCAGGCACCAGATGACGCCCACGCGTTGGCATCCCTGACTGGCTTTAGTCTCTTTCATTTGTCCACGTGTAGTGACATCGCTGGATGTCAACATGTTGCGTGCAGTGCCGGACATAGAGGGGCACGGCGTGCGGTGTAGCGACATCGCGGATACCACAGTGGTGTGGGTGTAGTACCGGCCCTAGAGGGGCCCGGTGAGCGCTGAATGAAAGCGCTGGATGGGACCACGCTTAGTGTGCAGTGCCGACCCTACAGGACAGGGTGTGTGGGTGCCGGCCGAGGATGAGGTTACTCGAGGCCATGGCACTCTGGTTGACCCGGGAGGACACGTGACCAGTTCAGTCTACAAAGGGGCCCCAAGTCGGGGCTAGGGGTGGTCACGTGATTGGGACCCAGATCCTCCCCGAGGATTCTGGAAGGTGGACGTGGCCGAGAGGGACCAGGTTTCTTGTTCATCCTTGAATAA